GGCATGAGGATAAGAACACTTCTATCCAAGGCTCCTTTTGGTAGTTATTGGTAATCTAGGCAAGGATTTGAATGCATCGACATATCTCATACTTAGATCTGTCTGATTCTGTCTTCCTCTGGTGTGTTTACTGTCAGAGTACGGAGTACACAGGGACCTATGATGGAAAAATGTGCTGTTTCTGAGCTTGTGGCAAGATAAGCAGGCTGCTAAGAGGTCTGAATGAGGGGTGGGGGTGGGGTGAGATTAAGTCCCCAGCTACAAGAGGTCCCCTGGGGCTAAGTAAAAGGCTTGTTCTTTTGAAATGGTCTCTGTTGGTAATTAACAACATATCATGAATACTGTGGTGTCAAATAATGAGGATTTGTATGCACAACGTTGGTGGTAGCTGATCCCTATCATTCAAGAAAGCTATTCAATCTGTGAACATTAGCATTCTGCCAGGTAATGAGATCTAGTCCTGAAGAAGTCCCAGACAGTGATTCTTACAGTTTTGGAACAGCTCCCAATTCTGGCTTCTACCACCCACTTCCATACTGTCCTTGAAAACAATGAATGGTAGCTTCCTGTTGTAGCAAATGTCTGAATAAGAGGTCTGGTTTCTGCTGTGCCTTCTGCTACAATAAAAACGTGTGCTGTATAAATTTAATTCCCTTCATTAACGCGTAAGCCTCTCTGCAAAGAGCGGTAGTCTGGGGAGGAGCAGAATTTTAAGAATATTCAGTGCTTCTATAGGCTGTTGCTTTAACAGCCTGAGATGGAAGCTACTCATTTAGAATATTGGTTGATGACAACACTGGCTTGAACAAAGTGACCAGTCTCGAATAGCCACTCATTTTCCAGGGCTGCAGGTTGCTAGGGCTCAGAAGGTAGCTGTTTTCCCCGCGAAAAGGGGCGGGGTGAATCGTTGCGTTGGGTGGGGGAATACTTATATGTTTTCTGCCTCTCCACGTTGGTAACGATCCTCGGACATAAAAGCGAGTTGAGCAGGAGGAAGGTCGAAAGAAACGTTGGTATTTATTATATTGGGGGGGTTGTTTTTTGGGGTGTGTGTGTGTGTTTCCTCCCAAGGCTGCGACGCATTAACCCTGCTGCTATTGGGACATTCTCTGCTCAGCCTATTGGCTGAGCCCAGGAGCTGCTGCCTGCCAATCGGGTAGTGAAAGGCAGACAAATCTACCCCGCCACCAGCAAAAAAAAAAACGGCGCGTAACCCTTGCTGCGCCGGCGGAGCCGCGCCAGACCTGGCGCGGGGAAGGGAGATAGGTGTCTCCAGTTGCGGTGGCTGTTAGGGGCGGGTCAGCTTCTTTGGCTTCTCCGGACCAAGTAAAGCATTAGCGGACGGCAGCAATGCCCAGCAAGGTGAGAGGCTGGGTAGAAATTTGGTGGGGGGCTACCCTTTTGTTCCTCTTTTGCCACCTGGGCTACGTTTCTGGGCAGATTCGCTACCCGGTCCCAGAGGAGTCACAGGAAGGGACTTTTGTAGGGAATGTCGCCCAAGATTTTCTGTTGGATACAGAGAGTCTATCAGCTCGCAGGCTCCAGGTCGCTGGAGAGGTGAACCAAAGACACTTCCGCGTGGATTTGGACAGCGGAGCCCTGCTCATCAAAAATCCAATCGATAGAGAGGCACTGTGTGGGCTCAGTGCCAGCTGCATCGTGCCCCTGGAGTTTGTAACCGAAGGGCCTTTGGAAATGTACCGAGCAGAGGTTGAGATCGTAGATGTGAATGATCACGCCCCCCGATTTCCGCGGCAGCAGTTGGACTTGGAAATCGGGGAAGCGGCTCCGCCAGGACAGCGTTTCCCCTTGGAAAAGGCTCAGGATGCAGATGTGGGGAGCAATTCCATTAGCAGCTACAGACTAAGCTCCAATGAACACTTTGCCCTGGATGTCAAGAAGCGCAGCGACGGCAGCCTGGTCCCAGAGCTTCTTCTGGAGAAGCCTTTGGATCGGGAGAAGCAATCGGACTACCGCCTCGTGCTGACTGCTGTGGATGGAGGGAACCCCCCTAGATCTGGCACCGCTGAGCTCCGGGTGTCAGTGCTGGACGTGAATGACAACGCCCCAGCCTTCCAGCAATCCAGTTACAGGATCAGCGTGTTGGAGAGTGCACCAGCGGGCATGGTGCTCATCCAGCTCAATGCCTCTGACCCAGACCTGGGACCTAGTGGTAATGTCACCTTTTCTTTCAGTGGTCACACCCCTGATCGCGTGAGAAACCTCTTTAGCCTTCACCCCACAACTGGAAAGCTTACCCTTCAGGGGCCTCTAGACTTTGAGAGTGAGAATTACTATGAATTTGATGTGCGGGCTCGTGATGGGGGTTCTCCAGCCATGGAGCAACATTGCAGCCTTAGGGTGGATCTCTTAGATGTAAATGACAATGCCCCCCACATCACAGTGACCTCGGAGCTGGGAACTCTACCAGAGAGTGCAGAACCTGGCACTGTGGTGGCGCTCATCAGTGTGCAGGACCCTGACTCTGGGTCAAATGGAGATGTGAGCCTCCGCATTCCTGACCACTTACCATTTGCCCTCAAGTCTGCCTTCAGGAACCAGTTCTCCCTCGTGACAGCTGGACCCTTGGATCGAGAGGCTAGGTCGAGTTATGACATCATGGTTACTGCTTCTGATGCTGGGAACCCTCCTCTGAGTACCCACAGGACCATTTTCCTCAATATTTCAGATGTGAATGATAACCCACCCTCATTCTTCCAGAGGTCACATGAGGTGTTCGTTCCTGAGAACAATCGCCCAGGGGACCTGCTTTGCTCCCTTGCAGCCTCTGACCCCGACTCTGGCTTAAATGCACTAATCTCATACTCTCTCTTAGAGCCCAGAAATCGAGATGTGTCAGCTTCTTCCTTCATTTCTTTGAACCCCCAGACAGGAGCTGTTCATGCTACTAGATCCTTTGACTATGAGCAAACACAGACACTGCAGTTTGAGGTGCAGGCCAGGGACAGAGGCAGCCCACCACTTAGCAGCACTGTGACAGTGCGCCTGTTTGTGCTGGACCTCAATGACAATGCCCCAGCTGTGCTGCGCCCTAGGGCCAGACCTGGTTCCTTATGTCCCCAAGCCTTGCCTCCATCAGTTGGTGCTGGCCACCTAGTCACAAAGGTGACAGCTGTGGACTTGGATTCGGGTTACAATGCTTGGGTTTCCTATCAGCTCCTGGAGGCCCCAGATCCCAGTCTCTTTGCAGTCTCCAGATATGCTGGGGAAGTGCGGACAGCTGTTCCCATCCCAGCTGACCTCCCCCCTCAGAAGCTGGTCATTGTGGTGAAGGACAGTGGCAGCCCACCACTCTCTACCTCTGTTACTCTCCTGGTGTCTTTAGAGGAAGACACTCACCCAGTTGTCCCCGATCTTCGAGAATCTTCAGCCCCCAGAGAAGGAGAATCCCGTCTAACCCTCTACTTGGCTGTGTCCTTAGTGGCAATCTGCTTTGTCTCCTTTGGTTCCTTTGTGGCGCTGCTCTCTAAGTGTCTTCGTGGGGCTGCCTGTGGAGTGACATGCTTTCCTGCTGGTACCTGTGCCTGTCTCACCAGATCCCGGAGGAGGGAGGGGCTTCCTCCTTCCAATGGGATCCTCCGAATCCAGCTAGGGTCGGAAGATCCTATCAAGTTTGTTGATGTGGGAGGCCACTCTCATGGCTGTACACCACTGGCTTCCGCACCCACTCGGAGTGACAGCTTCATGATGGTGAAGTCACCCAGTGCACCTATGGCTGGGGAGCCTGTGCGCCCAAGCTGTCCACCCTCTGATCTTCTCTATGGGCTAGAGGTGAGACCTTTGCAGGCTCAGCCAATGCTTGGGGGTTATTGTGATCCAGACATATGGCTGGGCCAGGTGCCAGAGAGTCCTGGCCTCCCTGGAAGAGCCCATAGTGGTGTCACCATTTTTGTGAGTAGTAACTACATTGTAAATGCTGTGCTCTACAAGTGTCTTCTGAATTGACTGGTGATTGGAACTTGGGGTGAGTAATGCACATATATTAGAACTTGGGGTGAGTAGTGACCGCATTTGAGAGCAAGAAATAAATTAACTGGTTATCAGTAACCAAGCTGTTGTGGAAGCATGCTCATGAAAATGTAGGAGCATCATGCACAGGTGTGGGCTGGGCCAGGAAATCACCTAATCTTGGGACTTTGTTCTTTCTGAAAGAGAGGGTTATGTACTCGCTCAAGAATGTTAACTCTGGATTACCATTTCCAACTGGTGTGGTGGTAGACTAAAAATCTTGCCCCCGTTGTCTAGTGTTCTCTAGCCCAATGTGGAGGGAACTGTTTATTTGAAAAGATAGCAGAGTCACACACACACACACACACACACACACACACACACACACACACACACACCAGGAAAGTGCCAAGGGAGGAGGAGAGCAGTGCAGATCAAAGTGGTAGCAGAGATCTTTCTCTGGCACTCCTGTATTCCTTCGCGGGATGGTGAATTGGACGCTGTAAACTGGGAACAGGGTGGGGGTGGGGTGCATCTGTTACCTCCTGCGGGGGAAAGGAGTAGGTGAAGTCACTCAGCATCAGAAAACTGATTCACAGTTAGGGAATTCACAGAGACGGACTTTCTGGAAATCTTTGGGGAGAGTTTTGAATTCAGTGAAGCTATAAAGCCTAGATCAGCCTAGAAGTGTTGCCTTTCCCGTCAGCTACGGTGCTCTGCTCACTCTGAGTTTGGGGCCTCTGGAAAGCTAAGCCCTTTAGTCATCAGCAGGCATTGCTGGGATGCAGAGCAAGACTTTAGAAGGTTCTGACAAAGCTTTAGAAGTAGTTGGTGGCGGAGGGGGGGGAGGGACACGAAGGACACTACATGGGCTTTGCATCTCCAAAAGGACAAATTTTGATTGATTAGGCAAAACAGTAGACGTTTGTGAAGTCATGCAGGAAGTTGCTGGGACAGAACACTAAGGAGTTTTGTACCATTTTAATCTTCCCCATTGAGCGCCATCTGAGCCACCAAACTTCACTGCCAAGGGGGCTGAATCAACCTGCAGCACGAATGAGAGGGGAGGTAGGAGGCTTCTGTGACACAGATTTTTCAGCTACTGTTCCCAAGGTTTCCAGGACCGAGGAGACTTCATAATTGGTTGAGAGCAGACAGACTTTTTGGCCAATCAAACTTAGAGCTGAGGTGGGAGATCTGCTCTTCCGGCCTGCCTCTCCTCCTCCAGTTCCCTAGCTCCCCTTACATCCAACTCCCCTCCCCCACCCACCCCCGCCGGTTGGTGACTAAGAAAGGCTGCAGGCAGGCAAAGCTCAGAGCAGTTTTTAAAGAGGCTGGAAGGAGACATAAGAGACTTCAGCTCCTGCATTCCAAGCGCTTGGTTTACCTTGGAGACAGGACAGACAGCACAGTACTCTCCAGGAAGGGACTTCTGGGTCATGGGGTCTATGGCATCCCCACAGCTCGCAGGGAAATGGCAAGTGCTGTATATGTTGTCCTTGTGCTGCTGTGGCTGGGTGTCTGGGCAGCTTCGTTATTCAGTGGTGGAGGAATCTGAGCCGGGGACGTTGGTGGGGAATGTTGCTCAGGATCTGGGCTTAAAGGTGACAGATCTGTTGAGCCGCAGGCTGCGATTGGGCTCTGAGGAGAATGGGCGCTATTTTTCCCTGAGCTTGGCGAGTGGTGCTTTGGCAGTGAAACTAAAGATTGACCGGGAGAGCCTGTGTGGAGCCAGCGGTAGCTGCCTGCTCCCTGTACAGGTGGTGACTGAACACCCCCTGGAGCTCATCCGAGTAGAGGTAGAGATCCTGGATCTCAATGACAACTCTCCTAGCTTTGCCACTCCTGAGCGAGAGATGCGAATCTCAGAATCTGCTGCGCCAGGGGCCAGGTTCCCACTGGATAGTGCTCAAGATCCAGATGTGGGCACCAACACTGTGAGCTTTTATACTCTAAGCCCCAACAGTCATTTCTCTCTGAATGTGAAGACCCTGAAAGATGGGAAGCTATTCCCAGAGCTAGTGCTAGAGCAGCAGCTAGACCGTGAAACCCAGGCAAGACATCAGCTGGTGCTCACTGCTGTGGATGGGGGAACCCCAGCCCGCTCAGGGACCAGCCTTATCTCTGTCATTGTGCTGGACATCAATGATAACGCTCCAACCTTCCAGTCCTCAGTTGTACGCGTGGGACTCCCAGAGAACACACCCCCAGGTACACTGCTGCTCCGTCTCAATGCCACTGACCCAGACGAGGGCACCAATGGCCAACTAGAATACTCTTTTGGAGACCATACATCTGAAGTAGTAAAGAATCTCTTTGGCTTGGATCCTAGCAGTGGAGCAATCCATGTGCTGGGTCCAGTTGATTTTGAGGAGTCAAATTTTTATGAAATTCATGCAAGAGCCCGAGACCAGGGACAGCCGGCCATGGAGGGCCACTGTGTGATTCAAGTGGATGTAGGGGATGCTAATGACAATCCCCCTGAGGTGCTACTGGCATCTTTGGTCAACCCTGTGCTAGAGAGCACACCAGTGGGCACAGTAGTGGGGTTGTTTAATGTGCGGGATCGAGACTCAGGTAGAAATGGTGAGGTGAACCTGGATATATCTCCAGACCTGCCATTTCAGATCAAGCCTTCTGAAAACCACTACTCACTGCTGACCAGCCAGCCTTTGGATCGGGAAGCCACGCCCCATTATATCATCGACCTGCTGGCCAGTGATGCTGGGTCACCTCCTCTACACACACATCTCACCATCAGGCTGAATATTTCAGATGTTAATGACAACGCACCCCATTTCACCCAACAGCTCTATACTGCTTATATCCCAGAAAATCGGCCGCCAGGCTCTCTCCTCTGTACCGTGGCTGCCTCAGATCCAGACATGGGGGATAATGCCCGCCTTGCCTACTCTATTGTAGGAAGTCAAATTCAGGGAGCCCCAGCCTCCTCCTTTGTGTATGTCAACCCTGAGGATGGACGAGTCTTTGCCCAGCGGACCTTTGACTATGAATTGCTACAGATGCTACACATTGTGGTGGGGGTTCGAGATTCTGGCTCTCCCCCATTGCATGCTAACACATCCCTCCATGTGTTTGTCCTCGACCAGAATGATAATGCCCCAGCTGTGTTGCACCCAAGACCTGGCAGGGAGCTCTCAGCCCCCCAACGTCTCCCTCGATCTGCTCCTCCTGGTTCTTTGGTCACCAAGGTGACAGCTGTGGATGCTGATGCAGGCCATAATGCATGGCTCTCTTACTCTCTATTACCACAGTCCACAGCCCCTGGACTGTTCCTTGTGTCTGCACACACTGGTGAGGTGCGAACTGCCCGGGCCTTATTGGAGGAAGACTCTAATACCCAACAGGTGGTCGTCCTGGTGAGGGACAATGGAGACCCTTCACTGTCCTCCACAGCAACAGTACTGCTGGTCCTGGAGGATGAGGATTCAGAGGAAATGCCTAAATCCAGTGACTTCCTCACACACCCTCCCGAGCGGTCAGACCTCACCCTTTACCTTATTGTGGCTCTAGCAGCTGTCAGCCTCTTATCCTTAGTTACCTTCACTTTCATGTCAGCTAAGTGTCTGAGGGGACATGAAGATGGGGATCGGGGTGGGGGCCAGTGCTGTCGCAGCCAGGACTCACCCTCTAGGGAGTTCTATAAGCAGTCCAGCCCCAACCTGCAGGTGAGCTCCGATGGCACACTAAAGTATATGGAGGTGACCCTGCGGCCCACAGACTCGCAGAGCCATTGCTACAGGACATGCTTTTCGCCAGCTTCCGACGGCAGTGACTTCACTTTCCTCAGGCCCCTCAGCGTTCAGCAGCCTTCAGCCCTGGCGCTGGAACCTGAGGCCTTGCGTTCTCGCTCTAGTACGCTGAGGGAGCGGAACCAGGTGAGGGCTGGGTGGGTGCTCCATGAGACCCCCTCCCAGGGGGACACATCAAAGAAGCTGCTGGGATCCACCTAAGTGGCTTTGATCTTGCACTTTCTGTTTGTGTCCTGCTGGCTGCATTGGAATGTGGACTTGAGTGCATTTGAGTGATCTAGTCAGGCAGGGATGGGGTCCTGAGCATTCAAGGGTGGTGGCATCCATGGGCGAAGGGAAGTAAGCTCAACTCCTGTTCCGCATACAGGAAAGGCTGGCGCCCTGCACCACTGATGGTGAATTCACACTGATCTGGCAGATAGATGTTGAGATCTGGCGTGGAGGTCACCACACACAGACCCATGCTGCCAGCCTCCTGGGCACCAGCTCCAGTGCAATCTGCCACTCTCAAAGTTTCCTCCTCTGTTTCTCCCTGCTCTCACAACCCGTGACTTTGTCCTTAACCTCAACTCTACTTATTCCAGTTCCAGACTACCACAGCTGCCTAGGTGTTCGGCTAGGGTTGGCTGGTGTCCTTGGTGCTGATCACAACCACCCGCTATCCCTCCCCAACTAACCCTCTGGGCCGCCCTGAAAGGTGCTGGTGGTTGATGCATACCTGGTGAGGTTGCCAGGTGGCTCCTGCCCAGGATCAAGCCAGGATTCAGGAGTTTCCCCCCCCCAACCCTCCCATCACGTCCTGCCCCCACGGACAGGGTGACAACCCTTATGTCCCGAGCTGAGTCTGATTTCCACAAAATCAGAAGTGACGATGGCCCTGGAACCTGCTAGCCCTAGGTCTGGCTGGGGCTAGGGCTCTATACCAGCTCCTCACTCTCAGCACCTGTGACCCATTATATGGCAGGACCTTGACTGGCCAATAAACAGTCCTAGGGCCCTGGTGGTAACAGCGACCGGACCCTCTCCTTGCAAGTGGGAGCCTGGAGAGCCCCTGCTCTGGGAATCGAAAACTAGGTTTTGGCTCCGTCATAAATGTGCTCAGAGATCTAGGGTTAGGATTTGGGGAAGACAGTCCATCAGAATGCCTGAGACTCTTAGCGAATCTTCCCCTCCTCTGCCTGATGGAAAACCAACCACAGCCAAGGGTAGCTTTATACTCCGGGAAACAGACATGGCGGGGAGGGGGGGTTGGAGGGATGTCTCCACAAATTCAGAAGCTTTTATTCAAAGTCTGTCCATTCTCCACCTGCCTCTGCTGTATGGGGTTTATATTTTTAAAACATCTCCAGATACTTCTGATAGTTGATTGAAAGAGCCCTACTACACACTTTCAAGAGCCAGTGGGCCAGTGGCTAGCAGGAGGCAGAGGCAGGAGGATCTATCTCTGTGAGTTTTACTTATCTACAGAGTGAGTCCCAGGACATAGCCAGGGCTGTACAAAGAGACCCTGTCTTGAAAAAACAAACAAACAAAACAAAATAGAAACAAAGAACCAGGATATTTCATTTGCCCTTCCTTTATCCCTGGATAGTTATTGGCCTAATAGTAGTTACTTTCACAGAGGTCAAGTAAGTCGCTCAAATTCAGAATAAATGATGATAAAGAGTCCGCCCCAGGTCTGTTTAACTTCAGTGTGTGCCAGCTTGGCACTTGAACTTTGTGAAGCTGGACAAGAGATGGTTGGCATCTTATAGGATGAGACAGGATGGAGCTCTTTTCCACCCTGGGACCTCCAATATGGAACAAAGATTTTGGGGCTCCCCTTTCTCAGCAGCAGTCACTGAGCAAACTTGTTCCTGCTCTGTTCATACCGGTATAGAGTTTTGCCATACTTCCTGGGAGATCACAGCACATTCTGCTGCCTGCACCTTTCTCCATGGCAGCCTCACAATGGTTCTCATGGCACCCGATGCCTTCTTAGGGTTCTGAGTTCCACTCACAGTTCTACCACTTGTGAATCTCAGTGTGAGCCACTGGCAAGTCTTCCTTCTCACCAGTGTAATATGAGATGCCCACACTCTCTTCTCCTGGGAGCCTGGGTGAGAATTAATTACCAGCACATCCCAGGGACTGGTAAAAGACTTGACTGTAGGATATGTGTGGTGGGACACCACATCCCCTGGACGGACCTGAGGATCTTGGAAATTGAGTGATGACTGGCAGAGCCCTGCACATGGAGCTGGAGACTTATTTGGCTCTGCTTGGAGACCATAGAATGTGGTCCCTCTGGACTCCATCCCAGCCGTTTTCTCTGCCTTGGACAGAGCTGCCTTGTTCACATCCCCTTAGTCACAGGCCATTGTGTGGCATGAAATTCTGGGGGTGAGAGGCATCCTGGGGTTTGGATGTCCTGTAAAGGCCCAGGCTGGCATGACTCCTAAATTAATAATGTCTTTAGCTGTGGGAAGAGGTCTTTGAGAGCAAGAGCCTGGAGGAGGTGTCCCTCTGAATGTGTCATTGCACAACTTGGCACAAAAAGGGTTACCCAGAGCAGCAGCCATCTTGCTACAGCCAATGCTTTGTTCCCAGCTGAGGAACTGAATGGCTCCTTTCTAGGGCTGGTGGGATTTTGTCTAAAAGCCTCTCTGACATTTGAGGAGGGACATGCTCCTGCACTGTTTCCCAGTTCCACAGAAGACACCTTTCAGTTCTTGAGTTTTGGCTCAGAAGCTTTGAGTCTAATACAGAAAAAAAGGGATCCATTTCTTCAGCAAAGAAATCTGTGCTTGTTCCCTGTGACCAGATGAAATATTCTGCTATTCTCTGGGTTGGTTCTCCCTGCCCCAACTTTTGCAGATGTGTCTACCCTCCCCCATCTTGTCGCCTCCGCCCCCCCCCCACTCCGACCCCCAGGGGTCTGTTTTTCTCACTGCTTTTGGGTACTCAGCCATTTTCCCTCTGTTTTCTCCACAGCAAGCCCCGCCCAACACCGACTGGCGTTTCTCTCAAGCCCAGAGACCCGGCACAAGCGGGTAGGTGACAGAATCTCCAGCCCACCCTCTTCTCTGCGGCATTTTCTCAGTGATGACGTGGGAGGAGATGAGGGGAGGGCTCGGCATTTTCTACAAATGGCTTCTTCCCTCATTTCTTGATTTCAAGGAGGCTTTTGTGTCCTGGGGGCTGCTGTGCAGAAGAAGAGGTGCCTACTCTGCCTATTTCAGAAGCAAAATTCACCTACTCGCCCCCTTCCTTCTCCCAAAGGCTCTGTGGGATCCAGGGATAGTCGGTGGGGTAGGGGTGAGGAGGACCTTCCTTACTTATCCATTGTTTACATTCTCCTCCCGGGCCAGGGGCTCTAGCCTGACCTGCAACTTGAGTAGAGGAAATGGGGCAGGAAAAAAGAGTAGGCTGCCCTAGTCAAAACCTTCCCTGAATCTTGGAGGAAAGGAAAAGGAGAGAGGGAGAGAGAGAGAGAGAGAGAGAGAGAGAGAGAGAGAGAGAGAGAGAGAGAGAGAGAGCGCCACTCAGCCTTGGGAAAAGGAAACTGCTTATAAAATGATACATTCTCATGACAACACGAGAAAAGAAAGCTGCTGTAGTGAGGACAAGGCAGGGCTCCCTCACCCTGCTTCTCCAGCAGCCTTGTGACCCCTTACGTCCTGCCCTGCCTGTTTACCCTGTCTGCCTCCCCTTTCTCCAGCCTGCATCCCCCCCCCCACTTTCTTACATCTGCACCCTCCCCAGAGTCTCTGTCTGCCTCCCCTTTCTCCAGCCTGCATCCCCCCCCACTTTCTTACATCTGCACCCTCCCCAGAGTCTCTGTCTGCCTCCCCTTTCTCCATCCCCGACACCTGTGTTGCCTTGCCCTGTACTGCGCCTGCCACGGCTTGGTGCTCAATAAAATGGAAGGAATGAAGACATTCCACTCTTCCCAGTGCCAGACTGCTTTTCCTCTCTCTCTGTCCCTTTCCTTGCCTTCTTTTGTTTCTCTCCTGTTGCAGTCATTTCCTGTGTCACTGTGGCCTTCTACCCATGCTCCACCCTCCTCTCTCTCTCTTTGCTTCCCTGTTCTGTTCTAAGGCTTACTGTGTCATTCAGTATCTATTTTGCTTTTCATTCAGAGTTTCAGTACCTCTCTCTCTCTCTCTCTCTCTCTCTCTCTCTCTCTCTCTCTCTCTCTCTCTCTCACACACACACACACACACACACACACACACACACACACACACACACACGCCACTGTCCCTCATTTCTTGGCATTTGTGGGCAAGCCGGCACCCAGTCGCCTCCTTCTCCCGCCCCTCATACTTAGAGCCTTTGATAGCTGCCCTCCCCCACTCCCCCTTCCACCCTGTCTGCCCCAGCTGTTCATTTCAATCCAGTATAAATTCCTGCTGAGACAGGAACCCCCTATGGGGGTGGGAAGGAGGATGGAGTCCAGCAGAAAGGCATTCAGTTGGTCTGAGGGTCATGAGATGGGCCAGCCTGCCAGGAGCTGTGGAGAGGCATGGGGGGGGCGGGGGGAGCAGCGGCTTGGGGCTTGCTCCTTTTCTTTGTTTGCCCACATGCTAAGGTGGTGAGTTTTGGGGCTTCCACTCTGCCTTTTCTAAAGGGGGCCAAGCCCTGGCTACAAGAATCCAGAAGCCTTGAGTGCAGGCGGATGGATTCCAGCTCCTAGGCTTGAGCAGGCTTGTCTGCAGCATCAGGAATGCAAAGCACTTCCTAGAAGGCCCCTAGAAGACAGCCAGAAAAGGCTGGGCTGCCATTGCCCCTGCTTTGACCCCAGCTGCTTCCTTGTCTCCTTGCAGGCCTTGCCAGCCTTCTGTAGGGTGTTCTTAGACTCATTCATTGAGTTTTTATTGAGCATCTACTGTAAGTCAGGCACTGTGTTAATATTAGTGCCTGTAAGAATGAACAAGCAGACACTCTGAAATTCCCTGTCTGGTGGAGGAAAGAAAATGGACAACAAATCATACTAAACAAACAAAAACCCATAGTTACAAACCACTGAAGTCCATTGAAGGAGAGCGTGAGTGTAATAGGAGAGAAGGAAATGTTTCCAGGAAGGTGACATTTGAATTGCAGCAGCTTGGAGGCATGTTGTACAGTTCTCCTCCTCTTACCCTGGCCAGCCAAGACCCTGGCCCAGAAGCCACCATTGTTGCTAGTCTTGGAAGCCCCAACAATTGTTTCTCGTGTACCCTGGGAAGCATCTTTCTCCCTGAGGCAGGTCCCTTCTCATCAGTGAGAGCAAGGCTTTGGTGGCCTGGAGTCCTTAGCAGAGCTCTTAGGGAGATGGAAAGGCTAAGGAGATTCCCCCCCTTCTGTAGCTAACTTGCTGCAGTTGGGACATTTTGACTCTGCCCCAAAGTGGCCACAAGGCAGCAAAAGCATGAGGGTGTATGTAATTCAGAAGCACCAGCTTCCTTCCCTCCTTCATTCATTTAGCCCTTAGCCAGGATCTTCTGTAGTCCATACATGGCGGATAGACAGAGATGACCTCCAACCTCACAGAGTTGGCAGTGCGTTGTGTTGTAAAGGAAGCATGCCATGGGGATCTGACCTAGTTAGAGAGCAGAAAGGCATCAGAAGGCAACAAGGTGGGTGAAATCTGAAGGACGAGTCCCAAGTGAACCAACTGAAGACAAGGAAGAAGATTCCAGATGCAGGAAGAACCTACAAAAAGGCCCCGTGGTGAGGCCTCTCAGGATGAACAGGATGACAGGGTGTTTTCTCTTGGCTGCCATTTTGATGACATACTGGAGAGAGGGAATAGAGAAAGGTAATTTCTCTAATTGAGTGTAACCCTGGTTACAGCCCTGAACTGCTTCTCTGCCCACTATCTGGCCCACTGTCTGCCAGCCCTTCTGACCAACCACATCCAGTTTAGAACTCTTGAGTAGCCCAAGGTGAAGCTTAAGGCAACAGTAGGTCACACTGCTCAGGCAAAAGGGCAAGAGTCACATTCCAAATTTCCTTGCTGGTTGCATGTTTCTCCTTCCCACACTCACACGGTGCCTTCTCAGTTCATCCTTCTGGCTTCTGATTGCAACACAAGCGCCGCTCTAAGCCTTGAAGCCAACAAGCTATTTCTCTCTCTCAGGCTGTAGCCCAGTCTGTACCTTGCTCTGAAGCTGTTCCCAGAGTCTCTGATACCACCTTGTTCTCCTTTGTAGTTCCACATTATAGTCTTCGCCAACCTGGGAGTCCTCCTATTCCTCCTCAGAGACACTAACCCCCTACCCACTCCATCGTCTCTTAGATTGGACAGTGGTTCAACAAATCAATAACATTTTTTCCCCTTTCTCACAAAATAGTACATTCCTGGGGCTGGAGACACGGCTCAAGCTCCGAGGTTTAGAGTACTTGCTGCTCTGCTAGAGGCCAGAGTTCAGCTCCCGGCACATATGCTTGGGCAACTCAAGCGAGATAGATAAACGAGAGATAAAGAAAAAAAAGAGAAACTTCCCCATAATCTAGAAAGAATGCCTAACATTTTTGTTTGTTTGTTTGTTTTTGCTTTTGAGACAGTGTTTCATTGTGTGGCCTTGGCTGTCCCTAGAACTCACTCTGTAGACCAGGCTGGCCTGAAACTCACAGAGATTCACCTGCCTCTACCTTCCAAGTGCTGGGATTAAAGGTGTGCACCGCTACCACCCAGCTACTAATATAGAGAAAAAGGCATCTATCTATATGAAAATAGACAATGTGCTGACGCTCTTGGGTCCTGTCATTCGGCCCTAGCTTGCTGTCTCGTGCTGTTGACGGCCCCACCCTTGTACTATCCTCTTGGATTATTTCAAAGCAAATCCCAAACACTACATAATTTCATCTGGGATTTTCCTGTCTTTTTTAAAAAATCATTTGTGGTGGTGGATGTCTTTAATCTCAGTTCTCTGAAGGCAGAGGCAGGTGGATCTCTGTAAGTTCAAGGCCAGCGTGGTCTACAGAGAGTTCAAGGACAACCAGGGCTGTTACACAGAGAAGCCCCGTCTCAATATATCCCCTAGGTCTTTTAATCCTTTTTATTATACATGTTCCTTTTCCACCATTTTTGTCTTTTGGTTGCAATTTATTCATAGAGTTATTAACATACTCATTATGTATCTTTCTAAGCATTTTTATTTCTATAGTGAAGCAGTATGCATAAGCTTCTTTTTTAAAAAACTCTGGGAAACTTGTTCACAGTAAGAATTTTCATTACCAGTCAACTGTAGGAATTGAGGTCATCTTTCCAGTGTTACTGTAGCCTATTTTTTTCTTCTTTATAGCATGCCAGATGAATTCTCCATATCAGTAGAAACTCTTCAAAAGTCTTTTAAGTGTTGCATAACAACACCTCATATGAACAGATACATATATTTTCAGGTGCTAATATATTCGTGCTAAGCTAACTAAACATTCGTTCACATTTTAATACAATTGAGTACAGGCTGATGTCAGTGTGGCTTCCCTGGCTTCTCACGTTTTCTTAGCTTAACACAGGGACTGTTCTATCACAGCCCAGCCCGTATATACTCCTCCGGGACCTCCACACACAGGGATAGGCCAGAATACATGGGTGATTAGGAAATGGGCTTTTAAACACAGGCCATCTCCTTCATGTTTACTGTCATCTTCAAATCGTGGAATGGCCCCCTGAATCTGCTCCTAGGGATCCAGGTTCCTCTGTGTGGGATCATCATGGGCTTCAGGGTCACATTAGGCAGGTGAGGAGTTCGATTCTGTCACATAAGTAGCTGTGTGTGACTTTGACAAGACCTTCAAGCCCTTCTCTCCTCTGCCCAAAATCAGGGATAACCCTAACCCTTATGGGTAGGGCGGCTCTAAGGGTGAAATAGAGAAGAACAAACACAAGGCCCAGTGGGTCCAGGGCTCAGAGCCAGCCCACTCCCACCCCACTCATTTCTTGCCCAGCTGCAGAAAGCTGGCAGCCTGCCCTCTTGCTTGGCCTCTAGCCTTTGAGCATTTTCCTGACAGGCCCACCAGTCATGGTTCCAGCCCACCCTTGCACTGGACCTTTATTCCCCAGGCAGCACCGCCTGCTGCCAGGGCACAGAGTTACCTCCGTCTGTGTTCTCTCTACCCTTTCACCAGCGTCTGGTTCGTCAGATGAGACTATAGGTTCCTGGGTTTCATGGAGACAAGGGTTTTCCTGTCCTCCAAGGGAACCCTCACACCCTCTATCCTTGCCCAAGAGCAAGAGTTTCACATAGTTAAATCTCACCATGGCAACCTAGCTCTTCCCTTCTTCTTCTTCTCCTCCTCCTCCTTCTCCTTTTATTTATTTATTTTTTGTTGTTGTTGTTGTTGTTTCTCTGTGTAACAGTAGCCCTGGCTGTCCTAGAACCCTGGAACTCACCCTATAGAACAGGATGGCCTCAAACTCAGAGAGATCCACCTGCCTCTGCCTCCAGAATGGGAAGGCATGTGCCACCACCGCCTGGCTGGCACCTCAGGAGCTTTTCAGAACTCTGAGGAAGAAGCCAAACAATTTTTTTTTTCTTCCTCAACCACTGCACCCTCACCCAAGTGCCTGAAGGCATGGACATGCTCCTCCCCTGCCTTGAGAACTGAGGACATAGATAGTCACACCCCACCTCTCTGACCCCATGTAACCCTCCCCCAGTGCCTTGTGAGCTGTCTTCCACACCCCTCTTTCTCCTAGGTGACTCAGTTTTACCTATCAGGAGGTTTTTTGTTTGTTTGTTTCGATGGGGGACTGTTTTTTCAAGAAAGGGGTTCTCTGTGTATCCCTGGCTGTCCCGACACTCAATCTGTAGACCAGGCTGGCCTGGAACTCACAGATCTGCCTGCCTTTGCCTCCCAAGTGCTGGGATTAAAGGTGTGTGCCACCACCAATGCCCAGCTTCTCTCAGTGTTTTAATCTTAAAATGTCTCAAACCTGTCCAAAAGCTGAAAGAATAGTATGCTAAAGTACACATATTCTTGTGTTAAAAAGAAACACCAACCTAAATTTCCTATTGGCTTGCGCATGAAGGCGCCCACACACAGGTTATTTCCTTCAGGAGCCATTAGAAGAACTGCAGGCATCACAGCATTTGACACAGTGTATAGCTTTAAGGACGCCTACAAAACCACAAAAATAATGGTCATATTTGAAGAATTTAACATTAATATTGTAAGACACAGTCCACTAGCAAATTTCCCAAATGCTCTCAGTATGTCCTTTTAATCTGCTTTTAAAATTAAATTTAGAGTTTGATCAAGGATCATGAATTGCATTTATCCTGCTTTAATCAGAACAGCCTCCTTACCTTTTTTTTTTTTTTTTTTTTTTTTTAATGGCATTGATAATTTTAAGGCATCCAGACCAGTAGTCTTTTAAATGCCTATAGTCTGGGTTCATTGATTCTTTTGGCTAAATATCAACATAATTGAACAGTCTCAGCAGGAACATTCCATGGGTGGTCATTTGGACCAGACCACATCAGGAAGCACTTAATGTCAGTTTGTCCTGTTAGCAGCTTTTGACATCTGTTTGCCTTGTTATCAGAATTGCTGTTTGTTCACTTGGTAAAAGTTGTGTTCCCAGGTTTCTTCATTATGGTTTATTTTCATTTTTTGTTTACTTATCTCTTTTGAAACAAGCTCTGTCTGTGTGGCCCAGGCTCAACTGATTAAACCACCTGGGCCTTCATAGTGCTGGGACTATACATGTCCAACACAGTGTCCAGCCTTATAAAGCTGTTTTCATCCGCTTGTCTTCTGATAGGCTAAACACAGAACCCCAAGCCTTTTGCATGCTAGGCAAGAACTCTACCAACAAGTCAGCCCTGATGTTTTGAGACGTGGTTTCTCTACATAACCAGAGTGGCCTTAAACATACAATCTTCTCTACTAGCCTCCAGGATTACACACACATGCACACACGCACGTGCTTTCTTCCACACCTCAGGGTCTGCCTTGAAGTCTTTTGCTTGATGCCAAATTCTTCTTTTTCTTCATAGGGACCCAACTCTCCCTTGAGCTCTCTTCTCATTCATTTAAGCAACTTTTATTTATTTACTTGTTTAAGGCAAGTTTATCTCTATGCAGCTCAGACTGAAAAATCTTCCTGTTTCAGCCTCCCGAGTGCTAGGATTATAGGCATGCACTACCAGGCCCATCCAGGCAGCAATTGTTTCTCCAGGGATCTTCTCTGTTCCTGATGGTGCCACTATATGGCAGGGATGTGTGTGGGACCAGACAGGTGTCAGGTTTCTTCCCTCAATCTTGCAAACTAGAATAATTTGATCCTTGAAAATCCACTTGATTGCTAGGTATGGTTGTATATATCTGTAATCCCAGCACTCATAAGGCTGAGGTATGAGAATTACTGTGAGTTTGAAGCCCACATGGGTTACATAAGTTGTTGGTCAGGCTGGTCCTACATAGTGAGACTGTCCCAAAGACAAACAAAAAAACAAAGACAGAGACAGAGAGGAAGGAAGGAGACACGGAAATTGTTACCATGGGAAAGGTCCACACTGAACAGGATGAGTTACAATGTCTTAGCACTTTTAGTAGTTTTAAAAACATGACTGCTCTCTTTGGCAGCACATACACTAAAAAATTGGAGCAATACAGAGAAGATTAGCATGGCCCCTGCGCAAGGATGACACACAAATTTGTGAAGCGTTCCATATTTTAAAGGATGCTGGGTTAAGAAATTGCCTCCTTCATAAATAAAACAAGAAAAACAAACAAAACATGAGTCACTTGATGTTTTCAATGTACAGTGCTTGAGTGACCTAATGAAGCCAGGCCCGCAGTGTCAGTAGGAGACTGACACTGATCCCCAAGCCACTCAAAAGAGCAGGAGGGACACCAGTAGTTCCAGGACAGCCCAGTAAATTTTAGAATCCCGGAGACATGTTTTATTTACATCGTAAAAACAAAGGCTGTGGTTTGACCTTCTGGGGATCAGCAAGAGAGCGTGAAGGGTGTGCATGTGTGTGTGTGTGTGTGTGTGTGTGTGTGTGTGTGTGTGTGTGTGAAGCAGGAAGGACAGTGTGGTATGATTGCAGACTACACCAAGGGCTTACGAAGACAGCGAGCAGAGCAGATCTGAATTCGGAAAACAGCTGTGGGGTTACCTAGGGCCTCCTGAGTTCCCTGATACTTTCTTTTTTCCTGGCTCTTCCTCTAGTTATGGGACATTCCCTCATTGTCTTCTTCCACCATACTCAGACAATGGTCTGATGTCTCAGGTGGTGACAATAGGCCACAACCTAAGGATGGAGGGATGACATTCATTTAATGCACCCAAGACAGCAGCAAATTGGCCCAGGGAATGGACTCATTGGAGTCCGGCCTCCAAAGGATTATATAAACTCCCCTATTCCATTTGGGGAAACTGGTCTTGGGTATGGGGTAGGGATAAGGCACTGGATTTGGGAACCCGGGAAGAGGCTGAGGGAGAATGAGCAGGGCTGGCCTGGGATACTACTGACCATGTTACTGTCTCCACAGCTCCCAAAATGGTGATGAAACCGGCACCTGGCCCAACAACCAGTTTGATACAGAGATGCTGCAAGCCATGATCTTGGCCTCTGCCAGTGGTAAGTGGTACCCATGGGTGTGAGAGGATGGGAGACTGAGGGAGGGATGTAAGTCTGTGTGGCTTCTCTGCAAGATCAGATAATCTCCCATGACCTAGCTCTAGGTTGAGGGATAACAAGGGATTGAGAGGTCCTAAAGCCCAGAGCAGAGTGAGCAAGTAATCCACCAAGGAGACGTAAAGGGAGTAGTCTAACTGTGAGGCGGACATGGAGGCATACACCTGTAATCTCAGCATTCCGTAGGCTAAGGCAGGAAGATTTCCACGAGTTTGAGGCCATTCTGGGTTACAAAGCAAGACCTTGCCTCAGAAACCAACCAGACAGACAGTCAGACCAGTCTGACTCCGGGAAGGGTTAGCACAAGTCACACCAGAGCTCTGCCACTTACTGACCTTGTGACTTGGAGCAGTTTGTTTGTTCTCTTTAAACTAAGCTTCCTCGGCCAAGAAAATGGACAACAACCCCACCAGGTAGGTTACTGTGGGGACTGAAGGAGTGTCACAAGAGTATAGTACTGGGCCCGGCACATGTTAGACCCGGCTAGTGGATGTGGCTGTTCCCAACAGATGACATCAGCCACTCTTGCCTCCAGGTCAGGACTGTACCTGGAGGCACAGGTCTTACCACAAGGCTAAGAAACAGCCTCAGTTGTAACACTGATCGGATAGCCATGGCTGTCCATGAAGAGGTCACAGGGTCCTTCCTCTGCTGGGCAAGCAGAATCAGTTCACCATCACTTAAGAGCACAGGCTTTGGAAGCAGCCAATCTGGGTTCAAATCCTGCTGCCCCACTTAGGGCTGAGGCATTAGGTAAACTATTAAGCCCCCCCTGGACCTCACTTTCACTTATGAAATATTTATAGGTCTCATTGTGCTATTTGAGAGTCAAACATGAGTCCTCAGCATAGGCTTGACAGACAGCGGTTATAGTAACAGTGCTGTAATTGATTAGTCATTATCTTTATTGACCTGTAAGGATAAAAGAGAGAGGGAAAAAAAAAGAAGCAGCAGCAGCAGCATTTTCTTTCCAGACAGGGGCTCATGTAGCCAGGCTGATTTCCAACTCCATAGATGTCTGAGGATGACCTTGAACTTTTGATCCTCCAGTCTCCATCTCCTGAATGCTGGGATTATAGCTGTGTGATGCTATGCTTGGTTTATAAGGTACTGGGGATCAAACCCATAGGACTTTATACATGCAGGACAAGAATGAGAATCTAACTTCTATTACACATGAGTGAAGGTGCCACTGTAAAACTCACTACTTTGTATTCTGATCTAAAATTAAATAAATAAATAAATAAAATGGAATAGATTATAAGAAAAAAGAGCCTAGCACCTGTTGACAAGGACTGACTTCCAGCCCAGGAAAGCAGAGTCTATGGGAAGCTTACAGAAGATTCAGTTCCTGGACTCACACCTGAATCCATAGCTTTCCTCTTGAGTGTAGCTTGGGGACTGATAGACCTATCATCAGGGCCAACTTTTAGGGTTTTTGTTTCTGGCTAATCCTGTGTACAGTGGTGAGATGTGAGGCAAGCTCTGAGGCTCTGTGTTTGGCAGAGGGGTATGAAATGGCCCCCACCGGGAGCATCCCAGGATTCAGCAAAGTTGGGATTCTAACTCAGCTCAGCTCCCAGGGTCGTGGCTTTAGATCTAGCCTGTCTGCCTCTTAGCTGACTGGACGGACCTAGAGGCTGAATTCTCTTGGTGTACCCTGCATTATTCCCCCTGATTACAGTTGCCAGATAAAATCTAGAGTTCCCAGTGAAATCTGCTTTTCAGACGAATATATAATTTTGGGTTTTGTTTTCTGGACAAGGTTTCTCTGTGTAGTGCTGGCTGTTCTGGTACTCACTCTATAGACCAGGCTGATGTCAGAGGTCTGCTTTCCTCTGCCTCTGGGATTAAATGAGTGCATCACCACCACCACCACTTCCCCTGGCTATATGCAATTTTAGTATAATCCATCTAAACTGTTCCACAAAGCAAACTATATTAAAAAATTTTAATCATCTACCCAAAGTTCAGAGATAGCTGGAAACCATATATTTTTACTTGTTATGATTTGTTAACCTAACCCTGTCTGTGAGAGGAAATGATGCTTGGCCTATGGCTCACCAAAGGGCACATGGATGGACGGGTCAACGATAATAGGGCTGTCAACCTCTTGGGACAGAGCTGAGACCCTTGAGAGGCCAGCTGCAGGCGCTGGACCTGGGGAGGTGCCAGGTTGAGCTCTTGAGGGAAATAAACAGGTCTCTTTAGCTGTTGTGGCCTTGAGCCCTAAGGCCAAAAAACCGACTTTTCAGCCCAAATCCAGCTGCTAAAAACAGACATGGAAGCAGTATTTATGGCCCAAACCTTCCCAGAAGGTCTCCCTGGAGTAGTGCCACAGCATGGCCGCCTGCATGCATGTACGCTCCCCTGTCAGGGCTCCACCCGTCCAGCCCACTCAGGACCTGACCCAAGGCCGAGCCTGGGCCCTGGGGGAACAGGCTCTGGGGTGGAGGTGGCAGGGTCAGGCCCTGCTCTCACTTTCACACCTACTTCCTAGTCCCAAAGCCTGAGAGGCTCCTGGAGCCCAGCCCTGGAGAGTGCTCTTAAATAAACACTTGGGGGAGGTGCACCCAAAAGGAGGCTGCGGTTTTGCAGCTGTGCCAGCTTTCAGCTCGCCCTTCGCCATCTTATCTCCAGCTATTGCTATTGTGGGGTCTTTGTCTGACTTGCACTGGTAATATCAAGGGGACCAGGGGAGATGGCAATGAGTTTGGAGCTGGAGGGACACCGGCACCCCTCCTCCAGCTAAAAGAGATCTCTGTATTTCTAATTCCCTGTCCTCTGGGACTAAGGGAAAACCCTATTTCTTGCCCAGGCCAAGTCTTGGGGGGTAGGATATAACCAGAAAGGCCATTGGAGTCTGAACCAGAAGATCAGAGTTAGCAATCCAGCTTCTTCAGAGAAGGGAAGCTGAGGCATATAGCACCCCCTGAGATAGTCACACAGCCCTTTGAGGCCTAGCTGGCAGGGCAAGACTCCAGGGTCAGCCTCCGTTGATTTCAGAGTCCCCTCTCTTCCTGGTGGTGCACCTCAGCACCTCAGACTCTCCTGTCATTCAATTAAGCACTTCCTGTCTTTCTGCTCAGTCTCCCTTCTCTGTTCCCTCACATTCCACACCGACACACACACACACTCACACACACGCACACGCACGCGCGCACACACACACACACACACACACACACCTACCTATCTTCTTAAGCCCCGAAATCACTTTGGAATTCTGGCTCTTTGAAACTGGATCTGGGCCCTTCCCCCTCCCCTTCCCAAGCTGGCAGAGGCTGTGAGCTTGAGGGGCCTGGTAGGCCGTGAGGACTGCCACCTCCTGGACTTAATTAGGGAAATGTCAGCAAATGAAAGGGTTGAGGGGGATGGGTGGGGGCAGCTGTTCCCTCCTACCAGGCCTGCTCCCAGAAGGCCCTCAGCTCCTGGACTTTTGGGACTGGAAACAAGGGGCTGTGAAAAGCCTCTGGACTGCAGGGGCCCAGAGACTCTGGCACGTCTCTCATCTTCCTTTCTCTTGCCTTCTCCTCTTGCCAGAACTGGAAATATTTCCTGTCTCCATTTCTCAATCCTTGGTTGATGTCCCAGAATTACTCAGCCTCTCTGGCTTTAGTCTCCCACTCTGCTAGCTCCAAGGTCTAGGGTGGAGGCAGCAGCTAGGTGGTGAACTCTCTCCAGCTTTTGGTCAGGCCGGGCAGGACCTTCCTGGGGCTTTAACTCTCTCTGTGTCTGTGTCACAGAGAGTTTCAGAGCTGGGAATCTGGGAGTCTAACTCCCATTCCCCTCCCACCAGCTCCAGTCAGAGAGTATAGTGGAGTGGCAGTCACACTGGATGAAGAGGGTGACAAGGAGGGGCAACTGTGCCTAGTATTTACTGAACACTTGTCAAGTGCCAGAGCACTGAGTGTCCATCTCATCTAATCCTCATGGGACCCCCATGATGGATATTTTTGGATTTCAGCTGCTAATGTGGACTCAACTCTTCCGGAGATCACATTATCATGCAAATCTGGGACCTGTATTTTAAGCAAGTGTGCCACCAATTTCTTCCTCTGGTCAGTGGAAAGTTGGCCTAAGTGGCACTGAGTCACCTGCCTCAGGCACTGAGCCCCAAAACTGCGCTATACCTAAGATGTCTGTTTTCAAGACCATTATCATCTGGAGCGAGGGGTGACCCTCATTTGCCCATTTCTTTGCCTCCAGAGCAGGGATATGGTAGAAGTTGGCAGTAGTGGAAAAGGTACCTATTTCCACCACTTAGACACACTTAAGATGGAGTCTCACTATAACAAATACTGAAGGGACCAGACCCTCATCTAGCCCCTTGCTTTGGCAGCCATGACAGGCTGCAGAAAAGACTCCACAAGATGTAGGTCTCTGACTCAGCAACATGTGCTAAGTTCCTGACCTTGGTGGACCTTCCAGTCACTAGGAAGCCGGATACCCTCATGTGGCAAGGAGCCAATCAGAAGTTAGCTGGTGGGCTCTGGAAGTGCTTTATGGTAACAGTAGAGTGCAGAGCATAGCAACTGCCCTAGGAGGACCTCTGAGCATAGCAACCATTCCTGACAGATCAACACAAGACAGGTTGTCCAAGCCCAGAAGTTTACCAATCCTGAGACTGTAGCAGACCCCCAGACACTCTTGCTCTACCCCAATAAATTCCCTGCCCCAGGGTCCCGATGTGTGGAACAGATGGAACTCGTTATACAGTTAAAGACCCTTTGCTTTTGCATTGGATCGGGTCTCTTGGTGATTTGGGGGTTCAGAATTTGGGCACAACATTTGAGGGGTTGTCGGCAATTCCCACGTCCCTGTCTGGGTGGGAACCTGGCTGAAGGCTGGATTAACCCACCATCTGAATCTGGTACTGTCCTTCTCTCAGCCTTGGCCTGACTGAGTGCTATGTTGAGGCTGAAGTGACCATACATGTGCTTGCCACAGAGTCGACAGTCCATTGCTGCTGTCAAGAAGTGGATGCAGCCAGGCCTGGTGTGGCCAGTGCCTACATCTCAAGCCTTCAGGAGAGGAGCTGAAGGGTTTCTAGTAGAGCTCCCCACTCTTGACTCCCCCCTCTCCCCCTCCCCCAGCTCCTTTTGCAATGAGACTGCCTTGGTGACCACTGTATTCCCAGTGATCAGGTTCCAGTGGGCAAGACCTTTTTTCTCAAAAACAAGTGCTGAGGATGTAGCTCAGTGATGGAGTATTTGTGCAAGGTTCACAGTTGGATCCTTGGCACTGGGGGTTGGGAGTGGTGGAGGACAGAAAAAGAAAGGAATACTTCTGTTGGGCTGGCTTGCAAACACACTTGTGTAATCCCAGCAGCACTCAGGAGGCAAACAGTTTCAGGCCAACCCAGTGCTACACAGTAAAACCCTGTCTTTTTGTTTTTGTTTTTCAAGACAGTTTCTCTGTGTAGCTCTGCCTGACTTAGAACTCACTCTGTAGACCAGGCTGGTTGGCCTGGAACTTAGAGGTATATCTGCCTCTGAGTCCAGAATGCTGGGATTAGTGGTATGCCCCACCACTGCCCGCCCACATCTTAAACAACAAGAACTAACTGCCTGACAGTGGTGGTGTATGCCTTTAAACCCAGCACTCTGGAGGCAGAGGCAGGTAGATCAATGAGTTCAAAGTTAACCTAGTCTATAGAGTGAGTTCCAGGACAGCCAGGGCTGTTACACAGAGAACCCTGTCTCAACACACACACACACACACACACACACACACACACACACACACAAAGGACTTGGCTAGGTATGTAATTCAGCTTGGAGAATGCTTGCCTATCATGTGCAAGGACGAATTCAATCCCCACCACCACACAGATAGACATATGTACAAACACAAATGCAAGAACACCCCCTGCATACACATTAATGGCAGAACTGCTGAGCACATGTGCTGTGCCAGGCCTTGGTCCGGGAAGGATAATGTGCACAGCAGTCTAGCAAAGACCCTAGCCAGGGTCAAGTGTTTGAAGCCAAATGCTGGCTAGCATGTTTCCAGCACTTACCACACACACCAAGGTATTCTAGGCACTTTAGAAGCACCTTCTCATTTAATTGTCACCCAAAGTGGATACTCTCTATGACCTTCATCTTAAGGGTAGAAAGTAGATGGCACAGGGAGGCCTGGCTGACTTGTTGAAGATCACGAGAAGAGAGCTGGGAATCAAACCTGCCTTTTATCACTCTTCCTGCACTGAGATTGCCTTGTGGTCAGGTCCCAGGGTGTCATAGGCATTCACAAACGGCTCTATGAGGGAGATGGAGTCAGTGACCCCATCTGACCATTTGTTCTTCCTTTTCTGCAGAAGCTGCTGACGGGAGCTCCACTCTGGGAGGGGGCGCTGGCACCATGGGTTTGAGTGCTCGGTATGGACCCCAGTTCACCCTGCAGCATGTGCCTGACTACCGCCAGAATGTGTACATCCCCGGCAGCAATGCCACACTGACCAATGCGGCTGGCAAACGAGATGGCAAGACTCCAGCAGGCGGTAATGGCAACAAGAAGAAGTCGGGCAAGAAAGAGAAGAAGTAATATGGAGGCCAGGCCTTGAGCCACAGGGCAGCCTCCCTCCCCAGCCAGTCCAGCCTGTCCTTACTTGTACCCAGGCCTCAGAATTTCAGGGCTCACTCCAGGATACCGGTAGGAGCCAAGGCCATGCTCCCCATTGGGAAACAGAAACAAGTGCCCAAGTCAACACCCCCTCTCTGTGCCCTGAGGGGTTGAATATGCAAAGAGAGTTCTGCTGGGAACCCCTATCCAATCACTGATTGTACCCATAAGGGTAGTAGGGTTAGCATGGACACAACACGCCACGCTCCCCTTAGTTACAGCTGAACTCCTCCACCTTCCAACTCAGCCAGGTTCATCCATCTGCTTCCCTCTCCCACCCCACCCACTCCTGCAATCCCTCTCTTAAGCAAGGTGTTCCGGCTGCTGAGGGGGCAGGTGACCCAAGCAGGCTCCTAGTTCTGGTGAGCTGGGCGAGTGTTATAACCTTTTGGCCTCTCCATTAGTTCAGCTTTCCCCCAAAGCATGGTTTGGTACCAGTCTTCTCATTTCCTTCTAGAGCCTGAGACCAATGCTTAAGTTTGGGGGACACAGTCACCATCCCCCTGGTACTGATGCTTGCTGGGTTTTGGGGAAGGCATTTTGCTACCCAGTCTCTTTTCACTGCCTGGGGACCAGTCTTTTGTTTTTCATTGTTTGATGTTCCCGCTGCATGCTGTGACTTCCCTACTCCTCAAAGAAGAGACTCCTTTGCATGTCTGGAGACAGTAGGGGGTGGTAAGCTAAAGGGAAGTTGGGTGTGTACTGATGGGAGTTGGGCAGTGGGCAAAACAGCCCTGTTAACAGGGTCTTGGAAGGGGCTCTGTATGTACCCAGGGTACTGGCCCAAGCCCCCAATTCTAGCCATAGGCAAACAACAGGCCAGACCCTCCACCCTGGTTCAGCTTGGGCAGCTTGGGCTGAGCCACCAGGACCAATAGATTTAAGCTGGCATTTCAGTCCAAGAAGACTTCTAAGTGGATTTAGGACCAGAGAGGAAGAGGGGCCTCTGTGGGTGCTGGGTACTCCAGAGGTGCCCCTGGTGGAAGGGTCAGTGGTCCTAGCAGGAAGGGAGCCCCAGTAAGGCCATTCTTGCTGGGTTGAGTCAAGGAGCTAGAACAAGGGACCAAGTGGCCATAAAGTCTCAGCCAATGATGGGGCTTCTCCACTGGGCCCCCGTAGTCCTCAAGCCCCAGGCATCCACCTTACCAGGTGCCATTTCTTCTCAGAAGGCCACTGCCCAGGCCCCCAGACCACCCCTTCATGGCCAGAGACTGGTTAAAGCCCCCCAGTGCCTCCTTGTGCATAGAACTTCCTCTGCCCACCCTCCTCTGCTCCAGCCCTTACAGTAGTGTAGAAGCTCCCTCCCCCACCCCCACCCCGGCTGGTGTAGAATAGCCAATAGTGTAGTGTGGTGTGCTTTTACGTGATGGCGAGTGGGCAGCGGGCTGTGCCGTCTGTCCTTGAATCTCAATCTGCCTGCGCGGCCCGTGCTGTGTTTTGTGCTGTGTCCATAATGCTACGGCGACCCCCTCCCTGTACTGACTTCTCTATAAAAGCTTCTCTTCGCATAGTCACGTAGCTCCTGCCCATCCTCCTTCTGATATCTCTCGCAAGTTTTATACTCTAATATTTATATGGCTTTTTTCTTCAAAAATTAAAAATAAAAGTTTTCTTCTGAAAGGCTGACTGCGTCTGTTTATCAAATGGAACACACAACATGTGGGTGGAGTCGAGGGGTTTGTACTGAATAATAGCTTTTGTGTCACTAAGCGTCTCGATCTAGTTTTGAATTGCGTGTGGGTGCAGTCTTCATATGACTGTCTAATATGGCGTGCATGCTTATGGTGTCTCTAATATGTGACGGACTGTAAATGGTGCTTGTGGATCTGTTTGCAATGATGTTGCTGGAGAGTCCAACGTGGGGGTGGGGAGCTTGAGTGCATGCGTAACTGAGTGCGCAGATTTATGCTCAGTGCTGTTTCTAGGCAGAAAAGGAGACCCTGTGTGGGAGGGGGTGGAAGCAGGAGTTGGGGCGGGAACTCAAATGTTGCGGGGAGGGCGCTGGGGACTTTTCTGTAGTCCCCGCCCCTTCCCCTCTGTCTCCCACCCCACCCCACCCCTAGCTACCTCCCTCCAGCCACGGAGGAGCTTGATCCAGAGGAGGGCGGGTTCTCCTTTGCCTACCCTCCTCCACTGCAGCAGCCAAGAGGTTTGAGAAAAACAGTGGGCGTCAATATCCAGGAGGCAATTATCTAAAGATGGAGTTCCTATCTTGAGCCTCAGTTTGTCTGCCCGGACAATGCCTACCCATTCTTTTTACGCAGCAAAGCCTAATAGGAGGGAGGGTTCATCCCTGTCTTGATGGAGTCAAAGGAACTGCAGAAGCTGGCCCTGAAACCCAGTCCCCACCTCCCTATTCTCCGCGGCTTCTATCCACCCCCACCCCTCCTGCTTCCAACACTGCTAATCCGACTCCCCGGTTGTTGTAGCTCCGGGAATCGGGAGGATTGCCACAGAGAACGACCAAAACAGACCCACGGGTTTTCAGGAGGGTCAGCGAGGGCATGTCCATCGAAAGAGCCCGAAGAGTATTTTCTAGGCTTCCTCCTTTGGAATCTGGTTACCAGTTTTGCCACCGCCTGGTCTGTTGCCATGGAAACCAAACCTTCCAGGCGACTTTGACTATGCGTGGGAGAAGGGTGGTGGTGTGTTTGAGGTTGCTGAGAGCGGGGTTTTCTCAGAGCCCGGTGTTGGGGAGGGTGGGGTGCTGGGTGCCTGGGTTCTATTCCAGGTAAGGCAGCAGACGGCAGGGCGACGAGCAGCTGTGGCTAGTCCCCTAATTGGTGTGTGGGACCTAAAAGCTGAGATGAAGTGTTTAGAGGCAGGTAGCCACCCCCACACTTCCGGCCACTGCCACATGAGGGTGGCAGCTGGGCAGGCCCATGGGCTATTTAAAAGGCTTTTATTTCTAGTAAAGGGCTGTCCAAGGGCTCGCCCTGCCTATCATTGGTCTGCTCACTGTAAGGTCTTTGTCCGGCAAGCATAGCTTAGTGGCAAGTCCTCTAGTGTCTGGCCTGGATGGAGCCTCTGATCCAGGTTGGGCAGACTCAGGGTCCCAGTCTCAGGGCTGAGTTGCTCTAACTTGGTGAGGATGGAAGACATAGGTACTGGTCAGAAAACTGTGGCACCTAGAGGTGCTGGGAAAGTGGGGAGTTGGACATTAGGGTAGAAATCAGGGCACCAATCCAAAGGGTCACAGTGTGGCACGAAGCTGGAACAGAGGAAGACAGCCCTGAAAGGGGGCCCTGGCCTACAGAACCACATGCATTCACTGTGCCCAAGCTCATGCCTGCCAGAATGCTTAGCTTTTAACTCATCTGTCAGGTCACCAACAGTGGGAAGTCACTGAAGAGTTTCACAAAGGAGACTGGAGGAAGGTCTGTTTCAATGCTTTATTGACAGTTGGAAACAAAACCCATCAAACTGGAGGTGATGACATCCCAGAAGCCCAAGAGGCAAGGGGTTCCCATTTTGTCCCCTCTACTTAAAAAAACTTTTTTAATTAAATGCATTTTAGCAAAAGTGATTAAAAAAGAAAAGGGTCAAAACCCCAGATGTCAGCTTGCAAGGAGGTGGCTCAGGGAAGAACTGGACCCTGCATCAGTCTCACAGGAAATAGCCCTGGAGCTGCCACTGCTCCTTCAGACACAAGCTCTAGCAGCCCAAACCGCCTTCCTGGCCACGAGGGCCCCTGTACTGGCTGCCCCTAGCATTTCCTAAACCCTCCATGCTCTGGCAACTCTAAATCTGTGTCAAGCCTGGACAGTACCATTCCTTCTCTGTAGCCTCAGAGGGGAAGCTGAAAGGGGCTAAGGACAAAAAAGTGACCCTAAGCCAGAGAATCTGAGCTTCCTGAGGTTTGGGCCACCCAGTCTGACTCATTGCTGGGTGGGTGGGGGGCCCTGTGCCCACTTCTCAGCGTCCACTTAACAACTGCACGTTTGGCTTGATAATTTAATACATTCATGAAAACACAGGATTGGAGTTCTTGCTACCCTATGGTGTGGCCCAGCCCAACAAGAGAAATTCTCTTGCCCCAGAACTGATGCTAGGGAAGGGTCTGCCCTGACCGCAGGGTTTAGTCTTGAAGGATGGGGCTAACACCCAGGCCATATTCAGGACTGACCCCAGGAATGCTTGAACCTACCATCAAAGTTTCTTTTATTATGGAAGGGGAACGGGACCAAGTTATTTTTCTTAAAAAATTTTTTTTCATATAAAAATAGATCCATTTGCAAAACAATTTCTTAGCCAGGAGGCTCCACCTCCCATTTCCTTGGATGGAGGGGGTGAGGTGTTGGGATGGTCACACTACAGCCCACACTCCAAATGAGATGCACCAAAGCTCCAGGGAAGGCATGGGGTAGGGGGGGCTCAGTTGCAGGGTGGAGGGAGGGCTGGTGCAGAGAGTCCAGGGAGGCAAGGGCATAAAGCATGGCAGCGGGCAGGGGGCGGGCCCCACACTGTCACTATGCCCTACTATCTGCCTATGGCTCAGACCTGGGCCACAGTGGAATGAGGAGAGTGGTTGAGACCTTTGCCTGGGAGACTTTCCCAGGAAAGTGGGGTAAGGGTGGGATTTGCTTCTTGCTTTTGCAGAAGCAGCTCCCAATGCCACAGCACTAGTAATAAATAACTGCCAGGAGGAAAAGCAGAGGTGACAGCAGTAAAAGGATCTAGCCCAAAGGTTCTTAAGTCCCATGCTATTCTCAGGGCTAGAGAAACCACAAAAGAAAAGCACAAATCCAGCAAGATTGACCTAGGGGAAGGCCCACTAGAAAGGGGGGCTAAGAAAGCAGGCTGGGTTTTGTCTGAGACCAGGACCTCTGGATAACATGGAGGAGACAGGGTTAAGGCAGCAAACATGGACCCTGCTTTGGTAATACCACAGCCAGGGGTGGCTGGGCTGGGCTCAGGCCACCCCTACACTGCCCTTCCCTTCTGGCCTCCAGGCAGCTGAAGCTGTATGTGATGTTCAGAGAGCAGCAGGCCAGACAGAAAGACAGGGTCAGGTGGTGGAGTGGCCACTGCATGACCATTTAGGCACATGCTGCAGGTAGACAGTCTGGGCTTCACTTAGGAGCAGCAATGGCCACAGAGCCCAGCTTAGCTTGCACGACCAACCAGCTCCTTGGCTTCCTCAAGGATTGTGGAGACTCCTTCACTTTTCTTGGGCACCTTAGCAGGACCAGCAGCCATGGCATCATCCTTGGTCAGCTCCGAGGCTAGCAGAGATGTGACTGCACACCCAGCTTTCCTGTTGACTGCAAGAGAAGACATGAGACCCTATCCACAGAAGGCCTACTTTCTAATCTCTTTACAACTTTACATCAGGTGTTCAGCCAGAAGCCATGCAATTGTGCCTGCCTTGTCTGGTTCAGAGGTCTTTTCAGAAAGTAGAGACTCAACGTAAAATATACCTCTTGGTACAAGTATGAAGGTTTGGATACAGCTAGACAGAACAGGACTTGAGGAGCTGGAGAGACGGCCCAGCAATTAAGAACTCTGCTGTTCTTGCAGGACAGTTGCCTGTATGGCAACTTCAGTTCCAGGGGACCCAATGCCCTTCTCTGGCCTTCATAGGCACCAGGCATGCATGGGATACATATACTTAAATTTATGCAAACACTCATATACATAAAAATAAAAATAATATTTTTTAAAAACCTGGTTTAAGTGTTAAGCTATGTCATGTAACAAGACAAACAGTACTCAAAGTCCACTTTTCTCACTCAGGTTGGTTGGAATTAAATATGTTGAAGCTTAGTACATATATTATTTTTTTTTAGGCCACTCCATAGAAAGCTTGTGGATGAAACTATAAGGCAAGAGGCAGCTTTTAATTGGCTTGTGAGGGTTCTTGCAGAAGTCCAGCCACTTACTGTTATCACACGCACACCACACTCCCATGCGTTTCTCCAACAACCAAGGTCCACATGCCTGGCTCTTTCCCACCTCTTCAAGGTTTAATACATATGTGTGCATGCACACACTGCAGGGTAAAATGATAAAATGTATGCCAGAAAAGGTCAAGGATGACCAAGAGGGAAATGCTAGAAAGAAATTGCAGCCCAAGTCTCTCCTGCTCATTTATAAATCCATACTTGGGACCCCAGTATCCTCAACAGGAAGACAGCTTCTTGGGACCATGCCCATCATCACATGACAACCACCTAGTTCTGTGCCATTTTAAGCAGTCTATATAGACTGCATAAATACTGAGCAACCTGGGGCTTTAACAGTCAAACATAAAATGCTATATGTCAATTCCTGTGAATGTCCAGCTTAGGAAAAATCCAGAGATAGAAGGTAGAATAACAGGAAAAGATGGCATGGTGTTTCAAACCTGCAATCCCAGTACTGGGGAGGCTGAGTCAAGAAGAATCTTAAGTGAAGGCCTGCATACGTAAAAGACTAGTCTCAGCTATGAGACCCTGTCTCAAAATATCTAAATAAGCAACTACAGATAGGGCAACAAGTATCCCTTGCTGGTAAGATGGCTTAGCAAGTACAGGTGCCTGACTCCAAGCATGGTATCAAGCCATAGCTGTGTGTATGCATGCACATACACACATTTTAAATAAACAAAAAGTTTATCAGTACCTGGAACAACAACAACAAAAAGTCAATACCAGGGACTGGTTCAAGCTAACAAGAGAAAGGAGGGTTTGCTTTGATTTGAACACCACAGCTTGAACATGCACCAAAACATTGTTAGATACTCCATTAAAATATGCACAATTTTTATGCATAAGTTAAAAAGTAATTCCTAGTGGATTTGGGGTTTCTTACGGAGATGAAAAAATATTCTGAACTATAACAATGGTGAAAGCTGTAGTCTTTAGTCTTTTGGTAGTCTCAAAACTATATCCGAGAATGGTGACCAAAAAAAAAAAGCTGAGTATGTGGGTAGGGTATGGTAGCCTACACCTTTAGTCTCAACACTATAGAGTCTGAAGCAGGCAGATCTCTAAGTTCTGGGCCAACCTAGTCTACATAGAGAGTTCTAGAAAAGCCAGGGCTACATGGTGAGACCACCTAAAAAAATATCCACAAACCCTTCCTGAGACCTAGGGAAAGCTGGAGTGGAGAAAGCTGTGACTAATCTTGAAAGAACCATTGGCAAGCACATCACTCCCTAATGAAGGCTGCAGGACTGGGCCATGAGCAGGAAGAGTCCAGAGGGGCCGCAAACAAGGTGTCTGCTGTGGATCAGCGAAAAGCTTTAGGTAGGTGGGAGCCAAACCAGGTAAGAGAGCCCAAGCCTTGTCCAGGACTGGCAGTCCCAGGGCAGAGCCAACCCAAAGCTACTGTTTACACACACAGAGGCTGCCCACAGGTCAGGCAGGGAGCACACAATCTGCCCACAGATTACCAACTTAGAGGTCTCCTCCTCCTCCTCCCAAGGACACAAAGGGTTGTCTACCAAGAGGAGAAAGAAGAGTAAAAATCCTGCTGACAGCATATGGGGGGTATCTAGGTGCAGATCACAGGTGTGAGTATGTGTAAGAGACCCACACCCTAGGGGCTTTACCAAGTTAGATGTTGGATTGTGGAAACAAACCATTGCCCCAGTAACTGATATATGAGGATGTGTGTATGCTTTTCCTACTTTCCTTTTTAGTCTCTCATATGTGCTGCTTTTCCACTCGTTTCTGAAGTACTCAATTCTCCAGGATGCCACGGTCATGCCCAGAAAAATGGTGGTTCAGTATCTCTTCACTGCAACTATGTATGTGTATGTGTACCCGTGTGCACGTCCCTCTAACTGTAGTGAGTGAATGAACCGAAGCAATTGCTGACTCTAGACTCTGTGAATACCTGCCCTGGAGCAACATAGAAGAGTTCCAGGGCAGCAAACCCTAAGCTGTTGCTTTCTGTGACTGCTCCCTCTAAGATTCCCTGTTGTACCTAATCCAACAGTTTCAGGATATTTCTATACTTACTAGACTTTTGATTCATTACATACGTCCTAAGATCCAGGGGAATATGGCAGATGGAGAAAACAGAACAATTTCCTCTTTAAGCCTTGAAAGTGGGGTAGATTAAAGATGGACACAAAGTGATCCAAGGTTAAGAATAAGAAAGCTCCTGTTCCAACTGGCGAAAGGAACCAAGGGAACCCCAAAGTCCCAGCTTCTGATCTAGTTCCAATCAGAAAAATTGACTTCCTCCCTCTATAAGACTACCGAGTCCTTACAGTAGCCACACAGCCAGGTCAGTGTTTGACTCTGCAGGACCTGGGACAATTGCCATCTAGGAGAATAGGCCCACAGCTTTGGGTGTAGAGGTAGAGTTTGAGAAAATGGTCAAAGCTAGAATAGCAGAAGATAGGGTAAACAAGATAAACATATAAGTAAAAACCTGCCAAGTAATACTAAGAGCACAGCTTGATTAGAAAAAGTTTAATGATTCAGGAAAAAATCCTAGACACAGCTATGAACTACTGCTAAAAAGGAAGTGTTCTTGTTAATAGGCTTCCTCAGGGAAGAGGAAACTAGGACAGATGGGGCAGTCATTATCATCCTAATAACTCATCATTGTCTGAAACCATCCTAATTATACCTCTTGTCCTATTTTTACAAAACTAGGGAGAGTGGTGATACAGGAACACTCTTTCCAGACATGGGGGTCATCAGAAAATCTCCCCAGTACAATTTTACCACCCCAAGAACTCTCTTTGTAATATCCTATGTCAGAGTTTTCTGGTCTAAATAGAGGTCGCTGTCATTTCCTGTCTAATAATGCAGGCTTAGTAGGAAGAGCCCTGGACTTGATTCCACAAAAGCAGGATATTGTTCTGGCTTTATTATTAGGCTTGAAATCATTATTTATTTATTTATTTATTTATTGGGACAGGGTTTCTCTGTGTAGCCCTGGCTGTCCTGGAACTGGCTCTGTAGATCAGGCTGGCCTTGAACTCGGAGATCCACCTGGGATTAAATCATGTTAACTCCTACCTATGAGCAGGGTGGATACTACTCAATAGAAGGGTCTTTAGTCTTCTCAAGGCTCTAACACAGACCTCCGTTAGCATAAGTGGAACTTATGGTAGCCTAGGAGATGGCAGAGGGAAGACTCCCAGAGAGAGATTTTTTTTCTTTGACTGTCATTTAGTATGTAAGTGAACTGTACAATTCAGGCTTGGAGATAGAGTCCAGTCATTAAAACCACAAGCTGACTCAATCACAGCTGGAAATAGCAGCTATAATACAATCACAAGGATTCTTCCCCTTGACACTCAAACCATTGTTCTCCCACACCCTGCAAACCTTAGCGATTTACATGTTACTTTTAATGAACCAGCCTGATAGTAACTCTCCTCTCCCAACTCCTCAATGGGTCTTTGTATACAGATCATTCCTTCATGTCTCTAGAGAGGGAAGATTTTAACATTCCTGGAGGCTCTAGGGAAAAATCTAGTGTCTTTGAATAGACACAGCTGCCTCTGGGAATGGAAAAGACTGAGGCAGATAAGTCTGACAGTTTTCTGGTTCTTTGGCTCCCAGCACTTGGTCATGATTAGCAGCTCTCAACCTGTACGTCTTAACCCATTTGGGGGTCACATGTCAAACATCCTGTGTCTCCTGCTACTTACAATTTTAGGGTTGAGGTCACCATAACATGAGGAACCATGTTAAAGGCTCACAACATTAGGAAGGTTGAGAGCCACTGGTCATGAGGACAGTCAAGAGGCAGCCAAAGAATAGTTCAAGCTGGGTCCAGCAGCACTGGAGGGAGCCTGTGGCCCTAGGGCCTTATACTCTGAGAATGGAGCCTTCAAAAATCCGGTCTTTTTCTTTGAAGAAAGATCCTAACTCTTTGGCAAGCCACTCTGATGCTGCTTTCTGTTAGGCCTGATGTGAGGCCACACCCTTTAGATGAAGCAGAAGTACCCAAGTATCTTAGAGAGTCTCCCAGATGTTTGGTGAGCTTAGTAACCCAGATCAGAAGGAGATTATAAACTGGAGCTGACAAACTATGCAGTCCTTATTTTCAACTTCTTAATTTCGGCATTTCCTATAAGTCCCCTAGAATTGTCTTTCTAACTGGGAGACAGTACCCTGACTAACTCAGATTCTCTAATGAAAAGGTAGTTCTGACAAAATCCTCTTTTTCTTTACAAGCAAGTGCTGGTTTTGTCACTAGGAAAGCAGTAGCTAATGGGGCATCCCCAGTACAGGGAAGTCTCTGATGTCTGGCTGCTTGTACAGGAAGCATCTGGGTCTCTGGTACAATTCCTCAGGAAAAGGCTGGAAAGGGAATTCCCCACCAAAGTCTGAAGCAGGCTAGGCTTAGTTAATAGGGTCATGGAAGACAGCACAGTAAGATGCACGATACTTCTGTTGGGCAGGAAACAATGCTGTGACAACCTCTACAAAAACTCATTACCAAAGGCGTATCGTTGGCTGTACTCTCCATAAAAAGGCCTATCTGTAAATCTAGAGTTCTATGCTCTTCATTCCCACTTCCTCTCCCTTTTGAGACCCTGGACTCCGTAAACCATTCCAGCCAGGACACTGAGTTTATAAGGGCTAGTATAATCTGCATCCTTGCTAGGGTACTCCTTCCAGGTGTGTGAGGCACTACAGGCCCCAGAGATACCACTGTATCCTGCCATCTCTCTATAGCAGGTTCCAAGTGAAACTCATATAAATGAGTCTACAGAGCTCCAGCAGAGGGGTGAGGGTGGGGGTGCGCACAGGCTTTAACTCAGCACAAAGATGCTTCTGCTGTAGCTCTTACACCCATCACATCTAGGCCTCCACAGAGTCCTAGTGAGAACTTCCTAATATGGGAGGAAGACACTAGATAATCCATTCTTAGTGCACGAAAATGGGAAGGTTCTAAACCCTGCAACATCATTAACACCACTTTGGTCTTCAGCCCCACCACTAGCATGACCAGGAGGAAAGACTCCAACACCCAATTGGGTTCCATTTATTTACTTACCTTGGCGTGGCCCTCTCTTTCGTCTGAATGCTGCCCCTGACTGCAGAGCTTCTAGAAGACTGTCCATCACTCCTGTCTCATCTCCCTCTGTCATGAACAAAGACAGAGGTGTAAATTCTTCAGCCAGACCAGAACAGCAAATATCAAGCTGCACACGAAATACATGGCTGCTGCATGGCTTTCCCTCCCTCACACTTGCTGACAGTCCAAAACAGACAAGAAAGGCTCAACCTCTCAATTCTCACAGACTCATTTACTTTACTTGTGTTTTGTTTAAAAATGCCCGAAAACTCACTGTCTGTTAGTGCAAGCCCTGATGTATTCATTGCAATGTCATCCTACCCACGCTAATCAGGACCAGCACACCGGACTGTAACTCCTTGCACCAGTTATAAACCAAAGGCAGCTATACCAAGGAAAGTGACTATGCCTGTAATCCCAGTACTTGGGAAGTGGAAGCAGGAAGTGGGATGTGCAGTCTGGGGCTAACCTGGGCTACGTAGGAAGAATTGTATATGTGTGGGCAGGGAGGGGTGAGAAACAATTATTGAAATTGTTATCAGTCCCAGTGTTTCCTGTTTGCATGAAATACTGAAGGCTTAGGCTTCAGAGGAGGGCTAAGGAAGAGAGCCCACTCGTCAAGACTGTATTTCATATAACTACTGTTTACAGTGGTTGCATCTTCCTAAAGACAGCTCTGCATGTAAAGGCTGAAAGCAGCCTGGCTGGAATGCAAAGAGTTAATGTAGAATCCCATTCTAGCCAGGCTCAGTTTCCATGGCAACAGCTCAGGATAGTGAAATCTGAAACTGAAATCCCAAGGAGCTGGTTGGCTACTCTCTAAAGGCTAGGGCTCATTACTGCCAGCGCCACCTGCTGTCTGCACATCACCAATGCAGCTGACCTACATTCAATTTCATTTGCTTGGCCCAGGCAATCAGGATAGGGTAAGGTCCATTACGCCACCTGCTGGCTGGGCTATAGCCCTTATCCCAAATGCTATTTGGGACTCCACCTTGCTCACATTATATCCTACACAATACAGAAGGGGGAAAGCCCTGGAGGCCCAGGGATAACAGGGAGGGAAGTGATGCATGGAAGGATGCTGGGTACGAATTTTAAGTGTTACGGGAACAAAGTTGTGGGCTTAAATACAAATGAGGTAAGGTCAAGAAAATACTCTGGTTTCTGGGCTCAAACCTTGTTAGTCTCTACTGTTTGTGCTCAGTAAATTTTAAAAACTTGTCAACCTCAAGAACCCCTCACTTGAGAGGCTCACAGCCCTTCAGAGCAGGGCAGGGCCATGTGCTACATATGCTGTATTTACTGTATTTCCACTGCCCACAGGAGTAGTGGGGGCAGGGAATTCTCCACAGGAAAAAAGCAGAGACAGGAAACAGAGGGCCAGTAATTGAGACCATATGCTCAAACAAAGACATGTTTCTGCTGGAGAAAGAGAGTGGCTAGATTTTCACCCCCTTCTCAAATATGCATACAGCAGGCTAAGAGGTAACACAGTACTGGTGAAAACCAGAGAAAAGAGAGCTACCACAAGAAGGGGGGGGGGGGAGTCAGGTGAACCCCAAAGCAGCAGGAATGAGAACAGGTCAGGGGACATTTTGGACAGGCTGAGGAAAGAGTAGGTGTGACAGCAATTCCCAAATCACAAGGCCGATGAGACAAAGTCCAAGAACCAGCAAAGGACAGGAAAAGTACACGTTAAAATCCAGCACCACTTGCCAGGAGCTAGCTACATTTAGGCCCCAGCTGTCCCGAGCAGCAGAGAAGCCTGATGCCCCCTTCACACCCCACCTGCATTCATGTCTATGAGCTGCTCTCGCTTCTGCTGTTTCTCCAGTCGCTCCTTTTCCGCCTTCTCCTTGGCTAGCTTTGCTCTCCGCATCTTTTCTTCTGTTTCCCGGCGCTTCTGATTCTCCTTGACTGCTTGCTGAAGCACAGATGGGGGGTTGTGTGTGTGGTGTGGATATGATGGCACATGTAAACCCACCAATAACCATTAGGAATCCCATGAAAAATTAGCAGTTCACCCTTGCTCACCAAAAACATATTCCTAAAATTGTGCAGATCCATAAAGAATTCTTCCACAGACAACTTTTTAGGGTCAAAGATGAAGTAGTCACCTAGCTCCTTATATAGAGTCTCCATGTTGGAGTGCATCATCCGTAACTTGTTATACTGTTCCTGTGCATCTTTTACAAAACTGTGCGGCCAGGGAGTAAAGGACCATGACCAAGAAGCACACCCAGGTCAGAGAACCACTCAAAGATGAAGAATGGGCTGTGCAGCAACCACCATAGAGTACTGCTCACGACAGAACAGAAGCACTCTAATTATCCAGAGTGACAAATCACAAACTACGGCTAACCTATACATTAGGAGCTGCACAGACTACTATAGACACGAGACTGAGATGTATGCAGATAAAGCTCCATGATGCAGTTTCGGTATAAAACAAACAGTGAGGTATCAATCAGAAAGTGGCAGCGAAAGGGCGTGTCTGTGACAGCAACGGGGCACAGAGTAGGGACTTGGGGGCTTTTAGTGAAGATGGGTATGTTTATAACAGGAATGGGACACACAGTAGGCACTCAGGGATTTGTCGTTCATCTGTAAGGTTTGCTTTCCCTCCTACAGCAAGTTTAAAAATTGTGTATTTAGTGGAAAAAAACAATTCAAAGGTGAAAACTGAATATTGCCATCATCTATTCTACTCCCCAGGGAAGATTTTTCCCTTCCCAGGGATTAAGTCCTCCAAAGAAAGGATATAGTCATTTTCTCAACAAACTTGTCCTTTTCATCTGTGGCAGCTGGGAAATTCTGAACATCACGTTCCACATCGGCGATCTGTTTCTTCATCTGATCTAAGTTCTTCTGCAAGTTCTCAGCAGAAACTACAGGAGAGAAACAGAAGACCTTACTAACCATCGAGAGCTCCCCTTCTTCCCTGCTATGCTCCTCTAGCCTACACATGCTCCTCTTTCTGATTCACATCATGGTTTTGATCTTTGCAGCAAAAGCATGATTATCTGCTAATTGAACTTCTGACCGTCATACACTGTACAATACTAACCGAAGCAGACTTCATATCATATAAAAAAGAACCCATAGATCCCCTGAGACCTTGGTCTCATGTATTTCAGGTAAGAGGGTTTCAGAAGTAGGAGATATGGGTAGGAACCCAGAAACAGGGTAGAGATCTGCCCCATTTCAACCTGGTGCTCTGTCTACTTCCCAACAATGAGGCCCAGGGCTTGTTAATCCAGTCTGTCTTTCAGAATGACAAAAGCTGTGGACCTAGACTGAAAGCACCTACCTTTCCAGCATTCATGTTCGTGTGTGCAAGCATGGAGTGTGCATGCCTATGAATGTAGTATTCCAAGAAAGGAAAAAGAGCACTTCCACTTGTACACAAGCTGTCTTCAACTTCACATTCTTCCCTGAATCTTAGACCTCTCCTTTGTTCTCACTTAAAATGGTCTGAACTGAAAATGATTTACATCTACAAGTGTCCTATTTCTTTCCCCACGGAGAAACTTTTAGGGCTTAGGACTACCTTTTTAAGAAAAATTTTCAAATTACATTTATTTGAGTGTGTGTGTGTGTGTGTGTGTGTGTGTGTGTGTGAGAGAGAGAGAGAGAGAGAGAGAGAGAGAGAGAGAGAGAGAGAGAGAGAGAGAGAGAGAGAGAGTATTTAGGTCAGATGTCTACTTGTGAGAGCTGGTTTTCTTCTTCCACTATGTTGGTCCCAGGGACTGAATTCAGGTTGGAAGGCTTGGCAGCAAGCACCTTACTCACTGAGCCATTTTGCTGGCCCAGAAGCACTTTCTAGCTTTGCCCTACACTGCCTTACCTCGGCTGGCTTTCTCTACATGGGCAAGCTCATCAGGAAACTTGAGGACATCAGGGTAGTCATTCTCACATAACTCAGCCAGAAAATGCAACAAAGTCATCTTCTGATCTGCAGACTTGGTGTCTCGGAGCTTGGGGTGAGAGGAGAAACTGTTAGTCCTGACTTGTCCCAAATGAGCTTAAGCCAATACTGGGCTCAAGGTAGCCTTCCCTCTGTCCTACTGTCTATCCCCATGGTTCACCTTACAGAGGAAGCTGATATTAAAGCCAAAAGCCCCAGCATTCCTGGAGCCAGCATTCATGTAGTTTCCAACAAGCAGTGTGATCTCCAGAAGACTGGAGAAGCTCTCACTCTTACGAAGTTCCTCACATGCAGCAGTGACAGACACAATCTCTGGCTTGATATTCTCAACTTGCTCACTGAATTGTAGCTTGAAGAGAATGGCATTGAGGCGAGGCCGAAGACGGGGCACTGTGCCCATCTAGTGAGGAAGGAACAAGTTCCATTATGGAGCTAATGGAGAGAGATGTCAAAAGATAAAGGCTGAGCCTCCTCTGGGAGACTGGTACTCCAGAGAAAAGGGATGGGGTGGGGGTAGGCAGAGAAACTGATTAACGTAAAAGGTTCAAAACAGATCAGAGGCAAGGAGCAAGTGACCAGGCTGGTCTCCAGAGGGAAGGGAATAAGGGAGTTGGAAAAGAGCTGTTACAGGCCTCACTCACCACCACTCCAAACTGCTCTGACTCAGCCAGATCATCATACTCGTCCTTCAGTTCAGAAAGCATTTTTAACTGCTCTGGTTCTGGCATCTGTTTAATGAGGTTCTGGAAAAGAGAGCAAATGCTGCATGTGGGGTGAGCTGAAAGCCCGAGCATCACAACTCCGCCCAGTGCTAATGAAGGAAGCATGGGGGGGGGGGCAGCTTGAAAGATGGAGATTCCTGCATCTGCAGGGGTACCCTGCCCACTGGGGACACAGCAGCTTTTTCAGCCAGCATTTTCAGTCAAAACTGCTGGAAGGAGCTCCTGCTCATCAAGCGAGTAGGTGAGGCTGCTGTACAGCTGTGCAGAGGAGCCAGCTCTAGCAGAACCTCTTTGTTGCTTACCTGGATCATAGATTCAGTGAGGACAGCCTCATTCACCTCCAGGATAACACTCTTAATCTCTTGATAAGGCATGCGGAAGGAACCCAGAAAGATTGCTGCCAGAGAACGAGATAGAAAGACAGGTTATTCTTATCTTTTTCCCTATTCCAAGCCATCCTGAAAGCCACTCAGCCTAGGTAGTTGAAGTCAGAACCCGAGTCCAGTGTTCCAGCTTCTGCTGTCACCCATTCCCACACAAAAGCCACACCATGGCACACTTACATATATCAAATAAAGTCCATAAAAGCAGCTCTTTCTCTTGACTACCCACCCCGGCTTCTCTATCTGACCCTATGTAGCCCTGGCTGTCCTGGGAACTCGCTCTGTAGAGCAGCTTGTCCTCCAACAGACATCTGCCTCCTGAGTGGTGGGATTAAAGGTGTGTGTCACCATACCCAGCCCTTAAGGAAACCCTAACATCCTTTTCCTTCGGCATACAGTCAAGTCTAGTGTAAAAATCTTTGACTCAATGATCCCTTCTATTACCAACATCTGTTTCCTTTATGGCAATCTGAAAATACAGTAATCTTTTTCCCCCCCCACTATTAGAACTTTCATCCATTATATCCTCACAAAGCCAATGAAAAGGCAGCAATCAGTGGGTGCATGCTTTAAAAGGTCCTATCTTGTCACCCCTGACTCAAATCTACTAGCCACTCTGTTCTTGGTGAGCTTGCCTCATTCAGTGTATTGGTTTCCACCTTCACTCAAGTGTCACTGTCCTTCATCTCCTCAACCACCAAGTCCCAGGAATTCTGTCTTTCTAGTCTGTGCCTTGCCTTTTCATCCCTATTACCTTAGTCTTAGGTCCTGATCATCTCATTAGTTTAAAATAGCTCATCTTCTTTCCTACTCTTCTCCTACTCAGAAACTGAGCCTGAAAAATCACTTGCCAAAGCAATCTTCCCCAAGACAAAAAATTAAAATCTCCTCAGTAACTTCTGCAGTTCTGACTTACCAAGCCTTCTCATGTACATGGGCTCCTTAAGTGAGCTAGTCCTTCCCTTCACTTAACTCCTTCTAGACAGGTCTTCAATCCATTTTAAACAGCACCTTCTTGAGAACACTCTCGGTCTCTTCTTCAACACTCGCTGTGTGCTGTGGAAGCCTTCTTGCTAGTGCTTGCCTAGGTATTCTAGCACACCCTTATGGCAGTAGTCACCTTCAGTCATTGCTTTGTTTTCCTGACTCCACCAGACACATAAGTCAAGAGGACAGAGACTGTCTGACTTGGCTTTGTATTTTTAGGATGAAACAGACACTTCTGCCTCCTAGACTGTTCTACTCTAGAACAATCTAATTTTGTGCTCTCCTCTAATTCTGAGGAAATGAAACAGGGCCTGGGATGCTAGGCTAATGCTCCACTGCTAATGATACCCCTAACCCCTCAATTCCTTGTTTTTCTTTCCTTCCATTTTGCAGAGGGAACATAGATTTATTAAGGAAAAGTGAGAGAGAACTCACAGGAGTGGAAGGGGTCATGAAGGAGAAATAATGACCCTGATTCCTTTCTAACCCTTTCCCATTCCATTGAGAACAATAATGTACTACATTATTAACCTTTCTTCTGTTGTTTTATAAAGTAACAATTACTCATGCTTTATGTTCCAAGACACACTTTTAGGAACAAAAATTAACATTACTTCAGTCTCTATAAAAAGAGGCACGCCTTTAATCCCAGCACTCAGGAGGCAGAGGCAAGTGTATCTCTGAGTTTGAGGTCATCCTGTCTACAGAGCGAGTTCCTGAACAGCCAGGCTACACAGAGAAATCCTTTCTCAAAAAACCAAACCAAACCAACATCCCCCTCCAAAAAAAAAAAAAAAAAAAAAAAAAAAGACACCACACACAGACTTTCATTTAGCAATACCTTTGAATATTAATCTAAGGTTATATGGTCAAGCATAACATAAAAATTATGCTTGCTCTGAAGCATATACTACAATTGGAATGATCAGCATGGTCCTGTGCGAGAAGGACATGCACATTTATGGAGCATTACTTAATTCTTAGTGTGAAATTTTTGTTTGCTTTTTTTGCTTTTTGAAACAGGGTCTCTCTGTGTAGCACTGGCTGTCTTGGAGCTAGCTCTGTAGATCTGGCTGGCCTTGAACTCACAGACATCCATCTGTCTCTGCCTCCTGGAGCAAAGATTTACTGTCTTACTATATCATTCTGAACGTACCTATGGGTATGTGTACTAGTTAGTTTGGGTGATTTTGGACAAGGCATAACATTTGAACTTTTAGCTTTCTCATGTGGAAAAATAAAGATAGTAACTGTAAGATTATGAATGAGCTTATGGAATATATACTCTTTCATTTATACAACACATGACTAGCATGTACTTAATAAAGCCTGGTCACATGCCAGGTCAAGTATTTGTTGACCAAAAAATGAGTATTGTATTACTCTGCATAAAAGAGGTAAGATTAGCCCGGGGGTGGGGGTGGTGGTTGTGACGCATGCTTTTAATCCCAGCCCTCAGGAGGCAGAGGCAGGTGGGACCAGACTGGTCTACAGAGCTAGCTAGTTCCAGGACAGCCTCCAAAGCCACAGAGAACCCTGCCTTGAAAAGCAAAAAACAAACAACAAAAAAGAGATGCAGATTGCTAGCTGAAATGAACAACAAGGGTAACACTGATCCTAACCACAAATCAGGCAGTAACTATATCAACTTGTGTAACAAGTGAACATGTGGAAGGCTCTTTAATCTGAAATTTTTTCACTAATTGGAGTTCTCAGTCCAGGTGGCAAGTCAGAACAGAAGAAATATGGTACCAAATGCTTAACTTCCTGGTGTTACTGATCCTACTCTGACAAATACAAGATTTATCTCACTTATGCTAAATGTAAATAATTTTAGTTTAACTGAAGCCACAACAAACAGCAGCCACATTCCTTCTCAGAAAGCAGAAGGAAATGCACTGAGGCTGAAATCCTGAGGAAGACTTCCTGCTGATATAAGGAAAAGTAAGACTTTGAAAGAAGTGTGGCAGACTGGTGGTGTTCACCTATAACCCCCACCGCTCAGAGGCTGAAGGATGAGGGCTGTCAGTTCAAGGACAGCCAAGCTATGTACCAAGATCACATCTCAACCACTCCCCAACCCTTAGTAAAAGAAAATAAGTAAGGAAACTCTGAGGTTAAAACCGACACCTACATCTTCTCAGCTCTATAACTACCCTGCTGTGCTACTGAAGGACCCGATGAGATTCTGAAGCCTCACCATGCACTGCCTGGCACAGAGCAGGAATTTAATAGGAGGTTTCATATGGAGGGAGGAATTTAATAGGAGGTTTCACATGGAGGGAACTTAGATTCAGAGAAATCACATGCTTACAGCAAGACCTTCGCAATATCAGACGCTGGGTCACAAGATTACTCACAGAGATTCTGGGCTGTCTTTGAGTCCAACACTTTCAGCTCTTTTACTTTTTTCTTCTGTACAGATTTCTTTTCTTCCCCACCTTCTTGATCCTTCTTGGCTAGTGAGGGAAATTAGAAAAACACCATTAAGGATAAACCACCTTTGTACATTACTGAATTACAACTGTGCTGACAGAATGGCCTTCACTTCCTCCCTGTCTCTCTATTATATTCCTTCAAAGCTAATCTCGTTAGCCAGTCTTCTATAGCTAAATGCCCCCACAAGAATATCTGCTTTTCATTTCTTCAACAGTCATCAGTAAAACTTTCCTCCTTAAATAGAATCTACCTACAGGGAACAGCTAACTCTCTGTGAAGAGCCAAGAGTAAATATTTTAGGTATTGTAAGCCATATGATCCGTCTCAACTTTAAAAAGTTAATTTTATTTTCTGTGTACCAGTGTCTACCTACCAGTGTACGTCTGTCTGTACACCATGTGGAGGCCAGAAAAGGGTGTCAGATCGTTTGGAACTGGAGTTATAGACAGTTTGTGAGCTGCTGTATGGGTGCTGGGAATCAAAACCAGGTCCTCTGAAAGAGCAGCCAGTGCTCTTAGCTGCTGAGCCATCCCTCCTGCTTCCCACCCCATCTCAATTCTTCAGTCCTACTACTGTAGCATAAATATAGCCATATGCCAGCACATAAATAAAAGGCATGGCCATGCTCTAATAAAACTTCATTCATTCAAAAACATTCTGTGACATAGCTTACTGACCCCTAAACTAAGAGTCTCCTACAGTTACTCTTATGCCTACTAAAAAGCTTCATTATCTTTCAGAGTCCATCTTGAACATGGCTTTCCCTATAAAAATGGTTTTAGTTTCTCCAACTGCTTATGACCTCTTTTAATCACTGTTGAATCTGAATAAAAAGAAGTGTAATAAACTCCTTCCATACTCCTCTTCACTACTCAAGCAGCATATTCAGCCCTCCCCACAAGTCTTCCTCAATAGATGTACCCACCCCCTGCTTTGATAAACTAATCCTTGCTCTATTTGTGATCTGTCCCTTAATCAATATTTTTTTCAATGTTTCATAACATATATGTATCATCCTGATTTTTTTTTTTTTTTAAGCCTGTGCTCCTTTAAGTGTGGATGTTTTCTCATTTCAAATTCTCATCTCAATTTTGAGCTTCAAGGACAAAGGAAAAATATTTCATCACCATTTCTTCAACAGTTAACTATAGCAAAATTCACTAAAAATGATCAGCACTAGCTCTTGAGGCAGGCTGAGCAGTGCTCAGGAAAGGAAAAAAGGAGTGTACTGGGCAGACATAACTGAATAGTACTGTCATTATTGGAGAAAATAGGGACTGTACTGGGCACACATAACTATAGTGCTGTCAGCTTCTTAGCTGACAGCAACAGCACTGAAAGTCGAGGCTAACAAAATCAACTGCTTCTGAGGAGAGGAATGGAATACTTGAGCACAAGAGTGGGAAAATACTTCTGAACCTAATTTCCTTTTTTGGTTGTTCTTGAGACAAGATTTTACTAAACAGCTTTGGCTGACCCAGAACCTTTACTCTGTGGATCTGACTGGCCTCAAATTTTCAATAATCATCCTACTTCTGCCTTCCAAGTAGTGTGATTACAGACACATACACTAATGCCTAGGTATAACATAAGCCATTTTTATAACATTTGATAGTTAGACCACATATAAAATATTTGATAAAATAAAACCAAAATAATAACCAAGTTATATGACAAAAGGTACACAAAACTATTAAAAAGTCATCCTTGGGCTGATTATGTAAGTTGATAAAGAGTACTATGCCGCAGGAAAAAATTTCACTTATCCCTTTGACCTAGGAGTTCCACTTTAAGAAATGAAACTGTTAAATACATGAAGAATCATTACTTCAGCAATGAATTACTGAGACCTTAATTTGTGGAGGGTTATGTTGGGCAATGGAAATAAGACAAATTAAAAAAATAAATACAAAAATATGATTCATTTCAATAAAGTGAAACAGACTATGCCTTCCAGCAGATGAGATATTATGTTACATGACAGTAAGTGTTGTGAAAAGAAAATCAAGTAGGGAAGAGAATCAGAGACTAGGCAGGGAGATGGATTAAAACCTTAGGTGGGTGGTTGGGGAATGGCTGGCTGAAAAGATCACATTTGAGTAAAGACCATTAGAAGGTAGGGGAATGAGCCTGTGTCAGCTAATCAACAAAAATCTAAGCTGCTGGGCATGTTTGTAAGGGAATTTCTCCACACCTCCCACTCTTCATTTTTTTTTTTTTTTTTTTGAGATATCCAGGCTGGCCTGAAACTCAACTCTATAGACTAGGCTGGTCTCAAACTCAGACATACACTTGCCTCCGCCTCCAAGTGCTGGGATTAAAGGTATGCACTACCATGCCGGGAAGGTTTAAATTTGTTTACAATTTTTTTATGTGTAGAGATCTGTGTAATTTGATATATGTACCATGTAAGTGCTAAAAGTCAACAAAATGAAGTAAGTAGTGTAAAGCTAAAATAGAGTGATCCTGTGGAAAACATCAAATGACTACAGAAATAGAAAAAATTTCATGAACAAGTGCAATATAGTTAGAGTACTAAAACCAACTCACATCAATGAACGAAGGATGGTCTAATTCAGGGATTGGTTAACTTCTGACTGAAGTACTATAGATGGTGTGCTGGCTACTTTTATGTCTCCCTGACACAAGCTGGAAGCTAGAGTCATTTGGGAAGAGGAAATCTCAGTTGAGAAAATGCTCCATCAGCTCAGTCACCCTTGTGGTGCCTTTGCTTGATTGATAACTGATGTGGAAGAGCCCAGCTCACTGTGCACAGTGCCACCCTTGGGCTGATGGTCCCGAGTGCCATGAGAAAGCAGGCTGAGCCAGACATAAGGGCAGCCAGTGTCCCTTCACGGCTTCTGCTCCAGTTCTTGCCTCCACATTCCTGCCCTGGCTGCCCTCTTACAAGCCAGAAGGTTAAATACGTCCTTTCCTCCCCAAGCAGCTTTTGGTCATGGTGTTTCGCCACATCAGCAGAAACCCTAACTAAGGCAGATGATAAATAATTTAGGTTAGCACATCTACTCAGTTCTGCTGGTAAAATATGAAAGTAGTGATCCACAATGACTATTTGAATAGATGGCTGTGATCCGAGGAAAAAAACGTTAACAAGACAAACTGGCTGCAATTGCTGATCCTTTATAAAATTGGTTCTCCACTTCAACAAAGAAAAAAGGAGGCCATGGATCAGAGAGAGATGGGGGTGAGTACATGGAAAAGTTTACAGGAAGAAAGGGAAAATGATGTGATAATATTATAACCCCTCTCCCCAACCCTTTCCAGTCATAACAAGAAATCAAGGTAGTGTGAAAGACAGTCTGGGACTGGTGAGATGGCTGCACGGGTAAAGGCACTTGCCTCCAGGGTGGAACCCACACAGTGGAGGGAGGAAATGGGAGTCTCACAAGCTGTGTTCTGGTCTCCATGCCATATACATGTGTGTGCCATGGTATACATGTGCACTCCTCTACCACACATAATCAATATTTTAAACAACAGTCTGGTTTGGTCCCAAGACATTAAAAATATTCCAATATAATGAAAACAGTCAAGTATATATAGAAAGAAATGACAACTTAAAGGAAGATAATCTAAAAATGCTGGTTTAATGTTCGGAAAACCACCCTGAACACATGGAACAGTTACTAAGAAGTAATAAATTGATCTGTCCAAAGTAAGGAGTACAGTGTGGCTCTCCTCATTAAGGTGGGAACTTGAGTGTGGATGTGAACCCAGAAATGGTAAACCAGAGGGCACACCAGGCAGTTCCAAAGCAACAGACAAGTAAGTCCTGGCATAGCTCAACCCTGAAATTTTCCAGACAGTGTTAACATCACCTGGAGTTGCTATAAATTTTTTATGTACAATATCTAGCCTTAAATCAGATTTATAAGACATGCCCCCCCAAAAAAGAACATTTATCCAAATTTGAAAGGGAAAAAAATCAATTAACATACACAATACTATCCAGCTGGCTAATGGAGCAAGTACACAAGGATTTATAGCCATACTTAGTCATTTATGTAGGCTCAAACCTTGTGCTTGTTGGTTTTTATCAACTCGACACAAACTTAGACATATCTCAACAGAGAGACGCCTTCATCAGATCACTTGTAGGCAAGTCTACAGAGCATTTTCTTGATTAATGATTGTGTCTGGCTCACTGCGGGTGGTACCACCTCTGGGTAGGTGGGTTGTATTGGGTTGTATAAGAAAGCAGGCTGAGCAAACTATGGAAGGCAAGTCACAAGGAGCAAACCAGTAAGCAGTGCTCCTCCACGGTCGCTGCTTCAGTTCATGCCTCCAGGTTCCTACCCTCAATTCCCTTCATGACAGGCTGTAGGACAACATAAAACCTTTCCTCCCTAAGGTGCTTTTTTATCACAGCAACAGAAGCCAAACTAAGACACATAAGCCCTATAAACCACCATTAGAGGGGTTGTGACAGGGCTACCACCATGAGAATTCAAGGTCAGCCAGAGGTACAAAACTGAGATTCTTTAAATAAATAAATATTTAAAAGTAAAGAAACACAAATAACTACAGGTAATGTAATATATTCAAGAAAATTGGGGTGGTAGAAAAGAAAAAAGGAAAACAGGAAAAACACACAGTAATTAGTCAAAACCAAGTTGGTGTTGAATTGGTTAGTCAACCTGACACAAACCTAGAGTCATGCAAAAGAAGGGAACATTAACTGAAGGATCATCTATTTCATCAGTCTGTGGGCATTTCCTTAATTACTGCTGTGGGAAGGTCCAGCCCACTGTGGGTGGTACCACCCCAGGCAGTTAAGAAGGCAGGCTGAGCAAGCAATGGGAGCAGTAAACAGCACTCCTCTATGGCTTTTGCTTTAGTTCCTGACCGGACTTCCCTTCATGGTGGACTCTACGCTGTAAAATGAAATAAACCCTTTGCTCCTTAAGTTGGTTTTGGTCAGTGCTTTATTTTGGCAACAGAAAGCAACTAGAGGAAGCTGGTATACTCCTTTAATCTCAGCACTCCGGAGGCAGAGGCAGGTGAATCTTGTGTTCAAGGCCAGCCTGGTCTACAAGTGAGCTCCG